ATTTTTAATAGTTTAAAGTGATATATAGGGGCCGGTTTTGTTGTTAATCATGATTTCCTTCATTTTGGAGATGAAGAGGAAGGTTAAAAGCCTGGGTGTGGCCAACTGGAAATGGGTTTGCTGGGAGCACATGGTCTTTAGACCTTACCTTCAGTGTGTTTGGTGGTGTTTGATTTATTTATTTTTTATTTGCTATCAGCTTTGTGGTCAAATTAACTCTACAATAAACAACAACAAATGAAGACTTGTCGTTCCATGTGTTACTTCTAAGGAAGCATCTAACTCCCTCAGCAGACCCAAGATGTGACTACTGTGGAATTTTGATTAAAGATAGTCACATCAGTCTGGGTTGGTGTTGTGTATTACTGTACAAAAACCTTGTAATAAACTGCCAGTGCATTTTCTGTTATTTTACAGACTTGTTTCTCTAAATAGTGTTTCTTATTACATTATATTATTTCGAACTAGCTATTTCAAACTAGACCCCTATTAGCTTTTATTTATTTAAAATTAGAATTTCATCTTCCTTCATTCATTTTCTGTTTGGCTTAGTCCCTTTATTAATCTGGGGTCGCCACAGCGAAATGAACCGCCAATTTATCCAGCATATGTTTTACACAGCGGATGCTCTTCCAGCTGCAACCCATCACTGGGAAAATCTTTCATTTGTTCCAAAACTGTTAGCTGGAAACCATTTGACTTCCATCTTATTAGTGTTTTTTGTTATGGAAGTTAATGGTTACAGGTTTCCAACTTTCTTTAAAACGTCTTTTGTGTTGAACAGAATAAAGACACTAATAACGGTCTGGAACCACTTGAGGGTAAATAAATGTTTTCTAATTTAGATACATTTCAGATAAAAAAGAAACGAAAAACTATATATATATATATATATATATATATATATATATATATATATATATATATATATATATAATTTTATTTATTTATTTTTTTTATCTTTAGCTTTTATGAGTCAACTAAAGAGACAGTTCACTCAAAATTTTATTTAATATTCCTTTGTTTGTTGTAAATCTGTTTGACTTTCTTCTGTTGTAACCTGTAACCATTGACTTCCATAGTATTTGTGTTTTTTGTTATGGAAGTCAATGGTTACAGGTTTCCTGCTTTCTTCAAACTAATGTCTTTTGTGTTGAACAGAGTAAAGACACTAATAAAGGGTTGGAACCACTTGAAGGAGAGTAAATTAATTTGTCTAATTTAGATACATTTTAGATGAAAAAGAAACAAAAAACAATATATTTAAGTAGTTATAGTACTATTTTTGTTTGTAAAAATTAGACATGACCTAGAGCCTAGTCAAAGTCCTGACCTGAATCCAATTGAGATTTATTTAAATATTATTTCTATACAATACATTATTTGAAACTAGCTTTTAGGTATAAATTAAAGGGATAGCTCACTCAAAATTTTATTTAATCTTCCTTCATTTGTTCTAAATCTGTTTGACTTTCTACTGTTGAATACAAAACCTGGAAACCTGTAACCATTCACTTTCATCGTATTTGTTATGGAACTTAAAGGTTTCCAGCTTTCTTCAAACTAACTTCTTTTGTGTTGAAGAGAATAAAGACACTAATATATATATATATATATATATATATATATATATATATATATATATATATATATATATACACAAGTAGTTATAGTAATATATTTGTAAAAATATATTTCTTTAATAGATTTCTCTGAAAATTATTTCTTAGACATTACATTATTTCAAACTACTAAAATGCCAATAAAAGTCACTTTGTTAGCCTATTTAGTTGAATTTTCAACATTAAAAGTCTACAGAGAAGAGATCAACGTCCCATAATGCAATTTACAACCGTAAATAAATGGAAAACAAAAAATACGGAAACTGTTAATAATATTTTTGAAGTGTAAAGTTATTACTAATTCAAAGCATAATTTCTTAATAAACATTTTTATATTGTTTTTGGCTGAAGTGATCAACTGATCGATTCCCAAAGGATAAAATCTTGATAAATCATATATTATTTTTAGTTGAATCTATTGTTGAAGTCATATATATATATATATATATATATATGAAACAAGTGTTTTATGCCATTGGAAAGATTAATAGGTAGTTTAATAAAGAAGGACAATAACAGGAAAAGCATCAAACAGGTTAAATATGAGGGAAAACAGTTCATCACACAAACACACACACACACACACATATTACATTTCCTAATGAAAATTTCCTTGACATAGTATGCTGACATACTATGTATACCGAGACAGTAAAGTATACAATATACAACATCAGCTCATATATTGTTCCACAAAAGTGGACAGATGAAATATAATCATTGAATGTCTCCAAGAGTCATCCAACGTGAAAAGCAGATTTAGAATCCACTTACATCAAGCACACTGGTAATCAGGCCCACGCAAGTGTACATCTGGAGATCAGTTAGTAGCCGTTATCACACACTACAGCACTGTTCAGCTGCTGCACATCAATACTTATTTAAATAATGCTAATGTTTCTATTTAAATGGCCTGCATGGCTGTTAGTTGAGGTAGATGCCATTTTGCTTTAGCTTTTATGGGTCAGCTAAAGAGATAGTTCACTCAAAATTGATTTTAATATTCTTTGGTTTGTTGTAAATCTGTTTGACTTTCTTCTGTTGTAACCTGTAACCATTGACTTCCATAGTATTTGTGTTTTTTGTTATGGAAGTCAATGGTTACAGGTTTCCAGCTTTCTTCAAACTAATGTCTTTTGTGTTGAACAGAATAAAGACACTAATAAAGGGTTGGAACCACTTGAAGGGGAGTAAATTAATTTTTGCTAATTTAGATACATTTTAGATGAAAAAGAAATGAAAAACTATATATATATATATATATATATATATATATATATATATATATATATATATATATATATATATATATATATATATATATATATATATATATTAGTTGTAGTACTATTTTTGTTTGTAAAAATTAGACATGACCTAGGGTCTAGTCAAAGTCCTGAGCTGAATCTAATTGAGATGCTATGGCAATAGTGAGTAAATTCATCCATTCGTTCATTTTCATTTGGCTAAATCTCTGATTTATTAGAGATCACCACAGTGGAAAGAACCGCCAACTATTCCAGCATATTTTCATGCAGCGGAGGCAAAATAAATACTAACTAGAAAAGTAAAGTTTGTTGACAAACTTTATGGAGGCTTGAGAAAGCTTAGTCTGGACGTTTAAAGTAGTTTTAAAGTTTAAATAATTGAAGTAGTTTTTAAGAAATTTAAAGCACTTGGCATAGAAAGAAAACTGTATATGTTAGCATGTTTCTAGTATGGATCAGCATGTTTCTTGCTTGGCAGTTGCTAAGGTGTTGCTATGAGTGGTTACTAGGCAATTGCTAAGGCATTGCTAGGCGGTTGTTAGGGTGTCCCAGGTAATTGTTAAGGTGTTGCTGGGTATTCTGAGTGGTTGTTAGTTGGTTGCTAGGGTATTCTGAGTAGTTGCTAAGGCATTGCTAGGGTGTTTTATGTGGTTGCTAAGATATTGCTAGGTGGTTGCTAGGGTGTTCTTAGTGGTTTCCTAGGCGTTGCTAGACAATTGCTATAATGTTGCTAGGTGGTTGCTAGGTTGTTCTAAATGGTTGCTAAGGCATTGCTAGGGTCTTCTAGGTTGTTTCTAAGGTGTTGCTAGGCAGTTGTTAGGATGTTCTAAGTGATTGCTAAGGCATTGCTAGGTAGTTGCTAGGATGTTCTGAGTGGTTGCTAGGACTGCTAGTTGCTGTTGATAAGGTGTTGATATAGCCATTGCTAGGTGATTGCTAGGGTGTCCTAGTTGGTTGCTAAGGTGTTCTCAGTGGTTGCTAAGGGGTTGCTAGGTGGTTGCTAAGGTGTTCTGAGTGTTTGCTAGGGTGTTCTATTTGGTTGGTAAGGTGTTGCTTGATGGTTACTAGGGTGTTCTAGGTGGTTATTAAGGTGTTGTTAGGCAGTTGCTAAGGTGTTCTAAGTAGTTGCTAGGCAGTTACTAACATGCATTAGCACGGTTTTTGTATGAATTAGAATGTTGCTAGCATGTTTCTAGTATAAACTAGCATGTTGTTAGCATGAAATTTAGTATAAATTAGCATGTTGATAGTATGTTTCTAGTACAAATTGGTATGTTGTTATTATGTCTAATGTAAAGTCAATAGCATTTTTTCACAATAGATGTCTAAGGGACAGTTGCTACGGTGCCGTTAGTAGTTGCTAGTAAGTTGAAAGGTCATCAGTGATTGGCAGTTCGGTAGTCTGAGTTAAATGAGCCCAAACTTCAGTCTGTATGGTACACTGTTAAGGTAATGGGAATTTTCTGAATTTTCCGGGTCAGTTTTGGGAAAACTGTAAGTCAGATGAGTTGGAAAAGATATAGCAATTTAATTCAGTAAAGTTTGGAGGTTTGGACAGTTTGGTGGTTGTAGTATGAACGGTCTAGGAGGAGATGCGTTCTTAAAGTAGTCTAAGAAGAATAGGAAGAAGATGGAAGAAAAATATAAAGTTTATGTAGTATAAAAGTGTTTTCGCCTTCTCAAGCCACCATAACTGCAATACGGATACTACAAAAACAATACTAACACCAAAATCTAAAAAGATAAATGCTGGACTGAAAGAAGTTAATGATGAATTACTAACATAAGTTTATAAGTAACAAATGCACAAAATAATACTAAAATGGAACAAACATTTTAGAAAAGGAAAAAATATTTTATTTCTTTCATATGGATGCCAGTTAAAAACACTTTAAAACTTCAGACATGATTTGAAACAATAAAAAATTATATTTTTATCCCTCAAAGTTCTTAAGAAGATTTCTTGCCCATCAACCTAAGCATGGCATCTCCCCAAACTAACAGTCATGACACTTTCCATGATTTCTTTTTGAATATACAGCTGTTCTATCAGTCCAGACTCATCTGTCAGCTGTATCTCCACATGTAGGCAGTGTGATGTGTGTCGTACCTGTATTCTCTCAGTGGTTGTGGGCCACAGAGCTCTGCACAGCACTTTCTTCAGCACATCAGGCAGCAAACTGACGATAATGAGCAGAATAATACTGAGCCACGCAGGACCACTCGACAACATCTGCATGAACACGTAGTACATCCTCTGATAGTTGAGGAAAGGCCTGGAAACAACACAAAAGCAGTGCATTAATTAGTCTTGATGGAAAAGTAGAAGCAAATTAGCACAATCCTCACAAAAGTACCAATGAGAGTTGAAAGTTCTGCAAGTGATCTATTTATAGAGCAGTGTATATTACAAGTGATGTTTGAATAGTTTTATATTATGTGTATTATTGAATAGTCTGCCATGTGCTCTCTGATCTGTTACACGATGACAAGTGCAAAATGGGTGATACATAAAGATGCTTCGTAGGGCATTTAATGGAGCCAATTCCAGTAAACAGACCAGCACAAACCTTAGTAAATCATGCTCGAAGAATTTTCTCTTATATATTTTATGTCTGAAAGGGAAACTCCTACAAATGAAGTAAGCACTTAGCACACTGAAAAAATATCTACTTCCTCCACATTAATAAAACATCTGTTAATATCTGTTAGAAAGTATTCCGTGGTTAATAATGATTACTTACACTTTTGAATTGCATTATGAAGCCTTCTATTTGCTAAATTTTGATGTTGAAAAAATGTAACTCTGCTTTTCAAAAATGCCTCCTTTATTTAGAGTTTTAGCACACAAATACTGTGTATCCATTAATAGAGTGGCCTAGTCAAAGTCATGACCTGAATCCAATTGAGATGTTGTGGCATGACCTTAAAAAGGTGGTTCATGATCAAAAACCCTCAAATGAGGCTGAATTACAACCATTCTGCAAAGATGAGAGGGACAAAATTCCTCTGCAGTGTTGTAATAGACTCATTGCAATTTATCAAAAATCAGTATAAAAAAAATAAGAAATCAGTAAAAGGCAACACTTTCTCACCACTGTATACTATAACTAAAAAAGAAAATACATTGTTTTAGTTTTAGAGCAGCGATCAAGGTCCCATATTGGAATTCCAATCCGTGAATAAACACAGGTAAATGAAACACTCCTGAATTATGAGCTATTGACCTTATTCTCCGCCGACGAGGGGGCGCTGCCATTTGAATCTTTTTGGCTCGAGACTTCCGGTCTCATTCACTTCTATTCATTTTTAGACATTAAAAACTGCTCATTATGCTGCTTGATGTTGCAATTTGATATTTTCTTGTTATATTATACTACTTGGTCTGTATAGTCATGCAAACATTTGTTTGTAGAGCAAGTAGTTTGACTGTTTTCTCCCGTTTATTATTCCTAGTCATTTCTCCCATAGGCGACTGAATCGGAAGTTCTAAGACGATCACGAAAACAGGCGCACTTCCACATTTTAGAATAAGGTCAATAGGCAACAGGTTTTGTGTGTGTGTGTGTGCGTGTGTGTGTATTTTAGTCATTGTCCTGTATGAATATCTAAATATCCTTTATTAAGATACAATTACTTTAGTCAACATTACTGAAGTCAAAAAAAGCTTTCTTTTCACAATAACTATGCTTAAATTGATATGTATATTTTTCTTATTCTGTCAGTAAAGCCCTGCTCACACTGTGGAATTTCAGCCATGATTTTGTCATCTGAGACAAATTTGGGAAATCCTAAAATCGCCCTAAGATCCTAAGATCGCCACTTGCGATCAGATTTTTCCTCTGATAAAGTTCTGGCAGTGTCAGAAGATTCCTGACACTTTCCTGCCGTGTGACAACAGCTGGGATGAGCGTCAATCCAAGAACCAATAGGAGCGCAGAATATGATGACGCAATCCATGCGAAAATTCAAATGACCACGGGGAAGTGTCAAAACAGTGTTTTTCTTCCTGGTTTTATTATTGAGAAACGCTGTGTGCAAAATTGCCAATACAAATTGTGTACGTTTGCAGGTGAGGAATCATTTCAGAAGTGTCACTGGTGGATGATGTCAAACTCTGGGGGTGTTTAATTTTGTGTTTGCCGCGTCTTCATTGTCGTTCAATCTGACATTATGACAGCTAAGATCTTACAGTGTGACATGGGAGCCATGTTCGTGCACTCAGGATTTCATGGATTTATGAAAAATTCCATAGTTTGAGCCGTCCTTAAGGCTTTTCTCCTCATAGATTTCCATTCATATGCACGTGAATGCGACAAGTATCACAGTTCACTGCATTTGAAAGTTTAAGCTTGGTGAACTCTAACCTGTGAAATCCCATTATCTGATAGCGTGAGATCAATCGAAGATCAAAACATGACCTCTCTGGACAGAAATTTATAGCATGGACCAATCGCTCGCTTTTTTAAATGTCCAATCATCTTGTTTAATTCCGCCCCTTTTCGCAGTGCTGTACAACAGAATTTCGCAAGCTCAAACTCTAATGTGACCGAGGCAAAACCTGTAGGTTTCAAACAGTTATTACAGCTATTAACAGCTATAAACAGAATATTGACTTTAGTAAATGAGAAGCCAAATGATGATGAGGGAAATAGTTTTTGTTCAGTGAATCCCAAAAGTAACAGTAAAAATATGTTTCCATTGACATTGTTAGTAAATCTGTCCCTTAATGTCTTAAGGATGACAATCGTGATATAAAAACATACCAAATGATGCCTCCCCAGAGCAGGGAGAAGATGACATAGAAAAGCAGAGAGCCCCATATGACAAAATGGTTGATCCACGTCCAGTAATGTGTGTCCAGTGCAAGCTAAAACACACACACACACAACACACACATACACAAAGAGAGAGAGAGAAAAAGAGAGAGAGAAAAAGAGATACAGCTGGTTAAACTGACACTGGATGACAACGGTCATGATCATAACACATGCAGTTTCAGATTTATTACCTTTAGTGTGACGGTGAACACCAGGACAGTGAACACAAGAGTGCCAAAAGTCCAGTTTCCAAACATCTGGAACAGAGAAATAGTGAAAAAGGCAAAAAGAGATTGACACAGATGTACCAACAGCCTATCGAGTGGTAGTGAACAACTTTACAAAACACACTGCATTATGATGGTAAATAATGTTCTGCCTTATTATAAACAATTCAAGAAGCACTTTATTTTACAGTTCTTATCTGCATATACTTGCTTTGAATTAATAATAATAATAATAATAATTATGATTATTGTTGTTGTTGTTATTATTATTATTATTATTAAAATAATGAGCATTAACTCACAAAACAAAATGTAAAAACAAAATATTATTTTAAAATATAAGCACATAAGAAAAGCTGTATAAGAAATATTAGACTAATGTTATTAAAGTAGCATGAGAAGACAGACGGACCATAATGGGTTAAAGCTTTGCATGAATGTATACATTTAGGTACATTATAAGAAAACAAAAATTGTGCTATAAAAGATTTCATCCATTTATTTTAAATATAATGTAACTATTAATTTAATGTATTTATTTTAGATTTCAAACGTCAATTTACTATTTTACACGTGTATTATTATTACACTGAATACGATTGATTGCAAGTTTAAATGCTTTATATTTTAATATGCAAGTTGTGTAATTTTTATATCACTATTACTTTTTTTATGTTGAATGACGATTGAACCAAACATAGACTCACCAGCCATATTATTAAGTACACTTTCATTCATTCATTTTCTTGTCGGCTTAGTCCCTTTATTAATCCTGGGTCACCACAGCGGAATGAACCGCCAACTTATCCAGCAAGGGCAGCGGATGCCCTTCCAGCCCATCTCTGGGAAACATCCACAAACACATTCACACACACTCTTAGTAAACTACGGACAATTTAGCCTACCCAATTCACCTGTACCGCATGTCTTTGAACTGTGGGGGAAACCGGAGCACCCGGAGGAAACCCACGTGAAGGCAGTGGCAGACCACGCAAAGGCAGAACATGTAAACTCCACACAGAAACGCCAACTGAGCCGAGGTTCGAACCAGCGACCCAGCGACCTTCTTGCTGTGAGGCGACAGCACTACCAACTGCACCACTGCCTCGCCCATTAAGTACACTTGTTTAACTGTTTGTTAATGCAAAATTCTCATCAGACAATCACATAGCATGCATTTAGCCATGTAGACATGGTCAAGATGATTTGCTGCAGTTCAAACCGTGCATCTGAATGGGGAAGAAAGTTGATTTAAGTGACTTTAAACATGGCATGGTGCCAGATGGGCTGAGTATGAGTATTTCAGAAACTGCTGATCTACTAGGATTTTCACGCACAACCATCTCTAAGGTTTACAGAGAATGGTATGAAAAAAAGAAAATATCCAGTGAGCGGCAGTTCTGTGGGCATAAATTCCTTGTTGATGCCAGAGGTCAGAGGAGAATGGCCAGACTGGTTCAAGCTGATAGGAAGACAACAATAACTCAAATAACCACACATTACAACCGAGGTCTGCTGACGAGCATCTCTGAATGCACAACACGTCCAACCTTGAGGCGGATGAGTTACAGCAGCAGAAGACTGGAAATAGAAGATTGGAAAAATGTTGCCTGATCTGATGAGTCTCGATTTCTGCTGAAACATTCGGATGGTAGGGTCAGAATTTGGCATCAACAACATGAAAGCATGGATCCATCCTGCCTCATCAATAAATCAATCTGGTTTTGGTGGTGTAATGGTGTGGGGGATATTTTCTTGGCACACTTTGGTCCCATTACCAATTGAGTATTGTTGCTGACCATGTCCATCTCTTTATGAGCACAGTTTACCCATCTTCTGATGGATACATCCAGCAGGATAACGCACCATGTCATAAAGCGTGAATCATCTCAGAATGGTTTCTTGAAATTACAATGAGTTCACTGTACTCAAATGGCCTCCACAGTCACCAGATCCCAATCCAAAAGAGCACCTTTGGGATGTGTGCAGCAGACAAATCTGCAGCAACTGCATGATGCTATCATGTCAATATGGACAAACATCTCTAAGGAATGTGTCCAGTACCTTCTATGCCACAAAGGATTAAGCCAGTACTTGAAGGCAAAATGGCGTCCAACTCGGTACTAGTAAGATGTAACTAATAAAGTGGCCGGTGAGTGTATTTTTCACCCATATTTTGCACAAAAGTCATTTGAAACATTAAAGGAGACCTTTACAAATACAATATGATGGCATTTGTACATTTTTAATAAATGTAGACCCCACAATAGAGGGTCTCAACTTTATCCCTAATTATTCACAGCACATTCCTGAAATGTTCAATCTCAATTGGTAAGAAACAATTGCATTACATCATTATTTTCATAGTGCTGTAAATAAATACACTTCAGTGTCATCCAGCAGTGTTTTACTAATGTCACACGTGTTTTATACTTCATCTGTAAAAGCATCATCAATAAAAAGTGAGCTTAGAGCGCACATTAGCATGTTGTAATGGATTTAGCATTAGCGCTGAGGCTCAGTAAAGCTCTGCTGGGTGTTGCGTGTGTCTGTTTTTTGCTGTATTTGATGCTCCATTGTTTAAAATCTTGGCAAACTGATGAATTCAAACACAATGGATTTCTCTTCTAGAAACCGACGGGCCGCGCTGCTGATGACACGATGCAAAAACAACATCCACAATACAATACAAGCTCTTTATACTATCACTGGATGTTTACCTTCAAAACGACGAATCAAAATCAACAAGAAGGTCAAAGGCTGACTGTCACTGACTGCTTTTATAATGTTGAACAATATATTTAACGTTGATAAGTAAAGTAACTGGTTTAAATAAAAGAACACACAAAGACACACAATAGATGTCAACAGGTTTGAAGGAAATGCATTGACTTACCTTGATGTGCAATTGAAATGGATTTAGTGTTAAAATAACATGTCAAGGGCAAATGATTTTTGTAAGGATGTTGTAAGATTTTTTTTTTATGTTACAAATTTGATGATTCAGCTGAAAAAAAAAGAGAAAGGAGATTCTGTTTTTTCTGCTATTTACCACAAATAGGATAAATGAAGAGACCAAATCTAAACAATGGTGAGAGGAAAAAAAGGTGTTCTTAGTGTTAATCATCAAGGAGGCAGATTGAAATCTATGTTATTTTATTTACTTTTTATTTATTTTATACAACCCTGCAGTGACACTTAAAGAGATTTGAGTGTTTTTCTATCAATTATTCTTTATTAAAATGAAATAGACATTTAAATTAATAATAGTAATAGTTTTTATTTCATTTGTTTTATTTTATAAATAACTTTTCTAATGAATAAATAAATAAATATCAAAACTGTGTAAAGTTTTTTAATATATTTTTATATTATTTTGATGTATTTTTTATTTAATGTAAAAATATATTATATATTATAATATACCTTTAAGATTTTTTTTCCTGTTACAGAACAAACCAATGTTGTCTAATTAACCTGCAGTACTTAAGCCTTTAAATAGCACTTTAAGCTGAATACTAGTATCTTTCAAAATAACTAAAACATCACTTTCATGATGACAAAGACAAAAGAAATTATTTATTTAAACTATTAAAAATGTGTTGAAAAAATTCTCTCTGTTAAACAGCAACTAAAAAAAAAGGCTAATCATGTTGCAACCCAGGCTCATTCTTATAACGTACCCCCTGTATACATTTCTGGAGATCACCAAATACATCCTAGGAGCTCTGTTTTTTTTCAATTTTTGTTTACACAAATCCACCAGAGGCCGCTGTGTACGCTTTTTCAGATCTCAAATTTCTCTTGCTAGTGCCATTCGTGGCACCTGTTTTTGCTTAAATCCACCAGAGGCCGCTGTGTAAATTTTTTCAGATCTCAAATTTCTCTCGCGAGTTCTATTTGTGCCTGCTGTTCTTGCATAAATCCACCAGAGGCCACAGTCAACTGACTGACTGACTGACTGACTGACCAATCGACTGACCCCCTCCTCTTTTCTTAAACCCAACCAAATAGTGTCTTCAAAAGCACCGATTGATCTGCCCGCCCAATTGCCTGAACCCAACCGACAGTGGGCAATGCAGAAAAAGAAAAGCCCTCACCTAAATTAATGTTTTCAGATTTTACCACAATCTCACCCTGTTATTTACTTGTTTATTTTAGTTTTGGCATCTATTTTTGTCTGATTTCTGTAATCGTTCTTCGCTAGACTCAAACTTTGTCGTTATGGTCAACTCCTCTCCTTGTCTCAAGTCCGCCTACTTACGCGGCGAGCCACTGGACAAACTGGTTAAAGTGAAAAAGACGACCACACTGAGATAAGAGGTCAGCTGGTAAGCGTGAAAATGAACGGCGTCATACTGCCCCATAGCGTTCGTTTTAAAGACGTTCCTCTGGCTACAAATCTCCAGAAATGTATATAGGGCTACGCTTTCAGAATGAGCCTGTGTTGTCATTTTGACTTCAACTGTAAATATACAGCATAAATACATAATTAAAGTTCCAACTGTTTGCTAAAAATGTAACGGGACACCCTATTTGTGGAAAAAGCCTCCAGAATCCCTTCCAAATCCTGGACCGATTCCTCTACGTTTAACCAGTGTGAAATGAATGGAAATGTTTCATCCCCCATTTCCTCCAGCCTGTTCATTTGCCCTTGAGTGAGGGATGAGAGGATGGACGTGTTTCCTACGGGCCGATGATGATGAGCATGACGGCAACCCTCCAAAAAAACCACACACATACAGTCTTGACGAGACACACGGTACGAACACAAACTCCTACTCCATCACACGATGACAGACAGAGGGAATGACTCTACGGCTACAGCTCGTCGCACAGCTACCATCAATGACAGCGAGCCAATCATTAGTGTTAGTGGACACTAGATGTGAGTGGGCGTGGCTTCAGGGTGAGGGGCGGGGCTGAGAGGGCAACAGTAAAACAAGGCTGCGGTTACGCTAGTGTGTTTTCCTTTTAAAATGCACAGCTTTTACTATAAGGGTTTAACCAGGGCTTCCACACTACACCAGAATTTTCGGTCGGTTTGAGGTTGCATTTCAGTGTAGACGGCACCAAAACGCTACATTTCCAAATCAGTGTTTCGGAGTGCTTATCAAATCACCAAGACTACAGGATTTCAATATACGGGACTTTGTTACGTCATAAGTGCTTCAAAACAAATGGAAACAAAATTCAATCCTTTTACTCCAGCTGACGACCAGCTCTGTGAAACGAAACTAACAAATTGACCTGATGAAGACCTTATAGGTTAAAACGTTGTCCAATTAAATTAGTATTGAGAGAAAAAGTGGCAGTGTGCTGATTATTTTGACTTTTTCTGCTCTGTAAAACTATAAAATCGACATGAAATATGTGCATTCACTGAGATGATGATCGCCCCCCAGTGGCGAACCGCTGAACACATTTTACGAGTTTGTAGACACTTTAATGCGACATTTCTCAAATTAATAAAAATAGTAATTGTTATTAGTCTTGTATTGGTCTGTAAAGCAGATAGTATCATCGAACATACAAAATAAGCCTTAATAAAAATAATTAATAAAAGAACAAATATTATTTGACGATAATAGATGATTGGCTAATTGCTATTGAAGCTGTTTAAATTTTTTGAGTTTTTAATTGCATTTACACAATTTTGTCCAGCAGGTGTCCCTAGCATGTGATGTTTTGAACACTTTAAAACAGCGAATCATTTCGCAAAGCAATTAGTTCAAAAGCAGTGTTTGAGGCAACGCATTACAAGCAACGTGAATTACGTAATAATATTAATTTTCTAAGTAAGTAAAGTAACGCAATACTTTAAAAAATTAAGTAATAATATTTGAGTTACTTTTTTAAAAATGTAACTCAAGTCACTTTTTAGATTAATTAATTCGCTTTTAAAAATAATTCGCTGAATTAAAATAAATGTAATCATGTTGAATCGCACTCAATGAGAGAATTAATCAGCTCCCCGCGGGAGCAGACAGAAACCAAGATGGCAGAGCCTTTCATTTCTGTGATAGAAGTACTCTCATTATTTTGGAAGAAGAGGGGATTATAGTCTCAACAACTGGACAGTGATTTTACTGAACTAATAAGACAAAAATACAAAAGCAGCAAACTCATTGCTTTCAACTTTCATTAACCTGCAACTAGTTACTTTTTTAGGGAGTGACTCAATAAGTCCCTCCCTCATTGGTTCTTATGGATCATTGCAGAACCTTTGCTAATAAAGCCCTGGTTACATGACCACAAGCTGAAATTTGTTTCATTTATCTAACGCATGCTCAAATAAAAAAAAAATAGCAAAGAATACATAGTTTTAAACACCACAAGGTTTAGTATTTATGTGGAGTTTACATAAATATAAGTAAACACTTAACAGTATGATGTCTTACAATATCTGTATGTAGCAATTGTAAATCTAAACATTTGTTTACTCTAAATAAATTTGGCGATGTTATTCATAATGCCACCATTATTTGTGCTTGGTATATTAACTGTATATACAATTGCCTTTGGTATAACTTGGATTTTATTTTAACAGAATGGTTTCAACAGGAGAAAATACACCTTCTGGAGTGGCCTAGATAGAGTCTTGAACTCAACCTGATTGAGCTGCTGTGGCATGACCTCAGGAGAGCGATTCACACCATACATTCTAAGAATATTATGGAACTGAAACAGTTTTTTAAAGATGAATAGTCCAAAGTCCCTCCTGACTGTTGTGCAGGTCTGATCTGCAACTACAGGAAATGCTTGTTTGAGGTTATTGCAGCCAAAGAAGCGTTCAAATAACTTTTCCACCCTGCACTGTAAATGTTTACAATGTCTGTGTGGTATTAAGTAGATTGTGTTTTTTCATTGTTGTAGCTTAGTAATCCCAAAAGGTTCACATACTTTTTTTCTAGCAATTGTACATATTTTTAGGTTTTAAACGCTGGTAATATTAGTTTTTGATGCTGAAAAAGATTTCAGTCATGTGGTGTAGTGTGGATAGGGATATTTTCTAAAATGCCAGTATGGACTAGGATCATGTTGATTTGAATGTGCCGTGTTAAAAGGAAACCGCACTAGTGTAAACATAGCCTCAAACTAAAAACAGGATGAGAAACAGATAGGGACAGGCTTACCATCTGTGTGTTGGTGGCCATTAGCTGAGGAAAGGAAGAAAGCAGAAAAGAAAAGAAAGGCAAAAAGGAGGGAGGTAAAAGGAGGAATAGAGAGAGAGAAAAGGAGAAAGATTGAGAGGAAGAGAAGAAAACGAAAGAAAAGTAGAAGAGGAGGGAGGTAGGGAGGGGACAGGGAGCAAGAAAGTAAAGAAAAAATTAGGATGTTATAACTTAAAGTAAATCAAACAGGTAAAAAAAAGCAATCCAAAAAGGTTACTATGATTTAACTTAATGGCACAGAGAAAGATGTCTGGTCTGACTGATTACCCAGCATGCTTTGTGTTGCATAAATGAATGGAGAAGCACCTGTAATGACTTCAAACATACGCAAAGAGGAGGACGAGACCTCAGTTATAAACCACATTACAAGCACTGGAACCACTTTAACTACAAATATAGCAAGCATAGAAACCCCATTCGGTCTGTATGTGACTGCTTTAGTTGACTGAGGAAGAAATAAACGGCTACAACAAGTTGGTTAAGTCAATTAAAGGAAACGCACAGACAGAAAATGGTGGTGAGAGAAAGGGATGGCTGTGCGGTACCTGTCCGTTGCTGGTGAAGGTTGTGTTGTCGAAAAGGAAGAAAGCACCAAAGAAGAAAACCACCGCATCGAAGACCCCCAGAAACGTCCAGTAGATGAAGGTGGGCCACGTCAGGAGGGAATTCTTGGCAATATCTCTGTGTGGGAAAAACAATTCAATAAAAAAATATTTTATATACCAACCCCAACCTATCTCTGGGAAACATCCACACACACACACAACGGACAATTTAGCCTACCCAATTCACCTGTACCGCATGTCTTTGGACTGTGGTGGAAACCGGAGCACCCGGAGGAAACCCACGCGAACGCAGGGAGAACATGCAAACTCCACACAGAAACGCCAACTGAGCCGAGGTTCGAACCAGCAACCTACTGCGCCACTGCATCGCTAACTTTTATTTCAATTAAAAATAATAACAATTTTGACCAAAAGTATGTGATTATTATTATATTATAATAATTATTTAATATATTATTTTATTTAATAATAATATTATATAATTGTCTTATAATAATAAATAATATTTATCTATTTAATTTAGTTTGTTTCATTGTGATAATGATTATAACACTTATTTCATATTTTCATTTAGACTGTTTTCAACATATTATTCTAATTATTATACTAGATTATTTTATATATTATTATATAATATACTATATAATAATAATATAATGATAAATAATACTTTTCTTTTTCATTAAATTTGTTTTAAAATGACAATAATAATTCTTATTATCTCTATTATTTCTTATTTTCATTTAGACTGTTTTTAATAAATTATTATTAATATATTATAATAATGATTTAATATATTATTATTTTTATTATCATTATTATTATTATTATTTTCATTAAGTCTGTTTCTAATATATTAATTCTAATATAACATTATTGTTATTTTTTAAATTAGTCTGTTTTAATATTATTACTATTATTATTATCATTTAGTCTGTTTTAATATAATAAGACAATATGATTATGATTATGATTATTATTATTATTATTATTATTATGATGATGATGATGATGATTATTATTATTATTATTATTATTATTATTATTATTATCATCAGCATTTAGTCTGTTTTAATATAATAAGACAATATGATTATGATTGTTATTTTTATTATTATTATTATTATAATGATGATGATGATTATTATTATTATTATCATTATTATCATCATCATCATTTAGTCTGTTTTAATATAATATAACATTATTGTTATTTTTTAGTCTGTTTCTAATGTAAGACAATATGATGATGATGATGATGATGATGATGATGATAATGATGATGATTATTATTATTATTATTATTATTATTATTATTATTGTTGTTGTAAATATTATTATTATTAACAAACTAAATTAAAATTTAACCATTATGAACTTTCACTTGAATTAAGTGAAGTTTATTCATAAACTAATTTCGAGAGGATCACGTGCTTATGATTTATCACGGCCAGTCTCGCATTTGCTAATCACTAATCTTCCAATCATACGAGCCCTAAGGCACCATAAATAGTCTAAGTTTTCAGTTCACTTTATCTTCGTTTGGAAGAAACCCCCCTCCTCCCCTATTCTCCTCCTTTACCTGTAATTGGGCGGCACGGCGGTCCAGTGGTTAGCACTGTGAACCACACAGCAAGAATACCGCCGGTCCTAGTTCGATAGGACCGGTGAGTGTTTCTGTGGGGAGTTTGTATGTCCTTACCGTGTCCGCGTGGGTTTTCCTCGGGCTCTCCGGTTTCCTCCCACCATCCAAAGACATTCAACATACTTAACAATCAAGCTGGTCTAATTCCTTACGTTCCCTTAGCTACAGCGGCAGGGGAGTTCTGAGATCCACCGAGCTCAGGCTCCCTTCTTGCTCTGCCAACGGGAGGAAGCCCCGGGCTCGAGGAGCCCTTGAGCTCGGGGCTCTCTCCCGGGACAGCATGCCAAATAAGCTTTGTAAATCATCAGCTAAGTGTGAACTCTTGAAAAAACAAGTATGTCATAGGTGAATTACAGTATGAGCAGGTCATTTATTGTTAAATAACTAACTATTAAACATCTTTCTTGCAATAAAACACAAGTGTGCTGAGCTGTGTCAGTAATGAACACTGTGTGCACTGCATCCACTGAACAACCAACTCAGAAAAAAATAAGAGCAAAAAAAAAAAAAACTGCAGCGTCAGGACATTTGGTGATAAAACGTGGAGTGGTTTGAGCAGTATTTCTGCTCAGTGCTGTGAGTAAATTGAGTTTAGTTCGAGGGTCTGTGCAGATGTGTTTGCCAAAGGCAGACTGGACTGTCCAATTATTGCAAACTTGAGCAGTTTATGAGCAGTGTGTTCATGTGATTAAGTGAGAAACCTGGAGGCTCACAATCAGGAAAACCATTTTATTAAAAAGAGGAAAATAAAAAGATGGACTGCATCAGGCACTTCAAGCATTTATACAGGCATTTATAGAGAAGGAAAAGATTGAATTTCCTGGCCATAAACTGCATTAGTTATAGAACAATTAAAGCATTTTAACGAATGACATTATAACTTACCTAATGTAATGTTGATAATGTTGACTAAAGATGCTTGTAGTTCTTTTCATATTCATCTAAAATATTTTACAAATAAATACTACAAAAGCTATTGAGCTAGGCAGAAACCCAAGCTAAACTAAACCAAAAATAAAACGAAATAAAATAAAATAAAATTATTAAAAACAATACAGTCACTAAGTGATAAAATATAAAACAAATTAAAATCATTTATGAGGAAAAAATTTAAAAATTAATAGTAATATATCTAAGAACATGGTAAAATGTCATAAATCTCGGAAGCTTAAAACTATGTAAAATGTGTCAAAATGAAATACAGTATTTTTTTATTTTAAACACTTTTAAATGGGCCAGTTTTTAAAGGACACGCAGTAATTGTTATGATAAAGCAACGTAAATAAATAAATCTTCCAACTTTAAAATAAAAAAATGCTTTAAAAATCACAATTTGTTAAAAGTAATGGTACAGCCAGCAATTGTTTAAATACAATAATTGTAAAATATATATATATACATAATATATTATATAAATATATATTATATAAATATTTACATTAAATAATTTTAAAAAGTAAATAAAAAGCTAGTAGTTTTTTTTTCTATACATTCATCTAAAATATTTTTTAAGTAAATAATAAAAAAATAAAGCAATTGGGCTTAGCAGAAACCTAAGCTAATCTAAACTACACTGAAATAAAATAAAATAGAATAAACTTTTTTGATTTTATTTTTTGATGTCTATCTCTGACAATAATTCTCTTAGGCATAACGAATCTCTCTGCATACCGAATCCCAGCAAGCCAACACTCATGCAAAAAAGGAGGCCAAGGTTGGTATAAATAGCCGCACGTAGACAGGGATTTATCAGTTGGTCTCAAAGAGCAACCCAGAAATAGAAATGAACGTGCAGCTCCAAAATACCTCCCATGTACATGTGATGAGATGCTTCACACATCCACAAACGAGACTTAAAATGCTGCTCACCTGTAGAGAGAGGGGTCCCGTTTCAGGATGTCCATGTTGATGTGCTGCTCCATCAGACTGTACAGCAGGATGGGCAGAGACGTAAAGCTGATATTGTATAGGGTCAGATATGCTGTGTCGTACAGTGGCTGCAGAGGGACAAAACAATTCAACATGGTTCACATTGTTACTGATATAAAAATACAAGTTCAAGTACAACTAAATATACAGTTCAGCACTTTATTTTACAGTCCTGATTCAGTCATTACATAAAGTAATAATTTGGTACTATTCTTAACCCTATGACTTAACTGCATTTGTACAGTAATAGTTATTCTATATAACCCAGTAATTACACTGTAAAAATAAGTTTATTACACACACTTTAAAATATGAATTTTTAATTAACCTACACAGTTAGTGCCTCATAATGTTTTGATTCACAAAAGAAGAATCATATCTAAAGACCTGTTTTGTTAATGAATCAACGTAGAGAGTAAGCGCCTCAATGTTTTGATTCACAAAAAAGAATCATATACATAGACTCCTTTTGTTTATGAATCAACAGACACGGATAGCACCTCATAATGTTTTGATTCACAAAAAAGAATCATATCCAAAGACTCATTTAGTTTATGAATCAACCTACACAGTAAGCGCCTCATAATATTTTGAATAACAAAAAAGAAACATATCGAAAGACTCGTTTTGTTTATGAATCAACTTACACAGTAAGCACCTCATAATGTTTTGATTCACAAAAAAAATCATATCTAAAGACCTGTTTTGTTTATGAATCAACCTAGACAGTAAGCACCTCATGTTTTGATTCACAAAAAAGAATCATATCCAAAGACTCGTTTTGTTTATGCATCAACATACAGTTAGCATCTCATAATGTTTTGATTCACAAAAAAGAATCATATCCAAAAACTCGTTTCGTTCATGAATCCACCTACACAGTTAGCGACTCATAATGTTTTGATTCACAAAAAAGAATCATTTCCAGACTCGTTTTGTTTATGAATCAACCTACACAGAAAGCGCCTCATAATATTTTGATTCACAAAAAAGAATCATATCCAAAGACTCGTTTTGTTTATGCATCAACCTACAGTTAGCATCTCATAATGTTTTGGTTCACACACAAAAAAATAATATTTAAAGACTTGTTTTGTTATCCCATAATGATTTGAATCACAAAAAAAATAACATCCAAGGTCTCATTTGTTCATTTACTAACTTAAACAGTTAGCGCCTCATAATGTTTTGATTCACAAAAAAATAAAAAATAAAATTCATATTCAAAGACTCATTTGTTCATTAATCCACCTACATGGGTTGTAACTTACAATTTTTGATTCACAGAAAAAGAATTATCTTAAAAGACACATTTGATGCTGCCTGTCATAATGTTTTGATTAAGAAAAAATAATCATCCTAATAAATTATATTGTTAATAATCAACCTACACAGGTTGCATTGCATTATATTTTGATTTACAAAACAACTAAACATTTAAAAAACTCATTTGTTCAAGAACTGACCTACACAAGTTGCACCTTATGTTTGATTCACAAAAAAAAGAAAAAAAAATCTCAAAAGGCTAATTTGTTCATTAATCAACCTACCGTTAGCACCTCATAATGTCACACAAAAAATTCACACAAAAAATCATATCAAAAGACTTGTTTTGTTTATGAATCAACACAGGCTGCACCTCAAAATTCTTTGATTCACACAGAAAAAAACATTCTAAAAAACTAATTTGATGCTGCACCTCAAAATGTTTTAACTCACAAAAAATAATAATCGTAAAAGATTCATTTGTTCATGAATCCACCTACAAGTTACACCTCATAATGTTTTCATTTACAAAAAAGAATCCTCTCAAAAAGACTCATTTGTTCATAAATCCCCCTACAAAAGTTGCACCTCATAATGTTTTGATTCACAGAAAAGCAATCCTCTTAAAACACTTGTTTATTCATGAATCCACCTACAAAAGTTCCACCATATAATTTTTTGATTCACAAAAAAAGGAATCATCTCAAAAGGACTCATTTGTTCAAGAATCCACCTACAAAAGTTCCACCACATAATTTGTTTGATTCACATAGAAGGAATCATCTCTAAAGGACTCATGTTTTCATGAATCCACCAACAAAAGTTGCATCTAGTGTTTTGACTCACTAAACAATAATATAATCTCAGAAGACACAACTATTCATGAATCACTACACAGATTGCACCTCATAATGTTTTGATTCACCAATGGAATCATCTCAGAAAGTTTGTTTTTATATCTGTAATAGAATCACCAATAAGTTACAGCTCAAAAGAATCATTTATGAGGTGTAATTACTAAAGCATATACAGTACATATAAACATTTCCCCTATGTGTTTTCAGAACTTATTGGGTTTTACTCATAACTTTCTCTTTTAATTAACATCATTCATACTACTAACATTCTGCACACAATTAAGGAAACACAGAGCAGTCTGTTTGATTGGCATTTTGAGGTGTGTGTGTGTGTGTGTGTGTGTGTGTGTGTGTGTGTGTGTGTGTGTGTGTGTGTGTGTGTGTGTGTGTGTGTGTGTGTGTGCGTGTGCGTGCGTGCGTGTGTGTGTGTGTTTACCTGCTGAGAGAAGCCACAGAAGAACTGATAGAGAAACTGAGGGAAGATGAAGCAGACGTTCTGCGGAGAGAGAACAGACCCTCAGTACCTGATCAACACAACTCTTCAGGGTGTTTGTGAATTCTGTTGGCTATAAATAGAGCTGCGAGTTCAACAAGACTGTTTGGTGGTTTAGTCAGAGCTCCTGGGAGAAAAAAAGTAGCATCCGTACACATGAGCACACTTACTCCTGTGTTTACAAGCAGTTTGTGTTGTGTCAGCTTCAGCTAGCGATCAGCAGTTTTGTTTTAGATAATAGTAATTTTTTATTTTGTGTTTTTCTTTTTTTCCACATGTGCCTGCTATACGTTTTAAATTAGGGGCCGCTTTTCTGTTTTGGGGAACTTTCATTCAATAGAAATGAAACAAATGAAGATGGTGCTACAAATAATCTATTTGCATTGTGAAACTGAGGAAGAGGTACGTTTGGCTTTTTTTTTTTGTCTTGAAAATAGTGACAGTATAGTAATGTATTAATATAATAATGTCTTAGTCTTATTGTCTAATGACTACAGCCCCATTGACACCCTCTTTCTTCAGTCTTCACCCTAACCTTCTTCAGTAAAACAAAGTGAAAACTGAAGTCATTGCGTTTGGGAACAGAGATGAGGTTCTCAAAGTAAATGTTTGCCTTGGCTTTATAGGTCAAACAACAAAAAAATAAGGTCAAGAATCTTGGTGTGATTCTAGCGTCAGATCTGAATTCGTCACTAAATCAGCATACTATCATCTCAAAAACATCACAATAATTAGATGCTTTGTTTCCAGTGAGGACTTTTGAGAAAGTTGTTCATGCTTTTATCACCAGCAGGGTGGATTACTCTAATGGACTCTCCATTCTTCCTCCCAGTTACATTCAGAATAAATTTTAAAGTATTATTACTTGCCTAGAAATCACTAAGTGGCCTAAGACCTCAATACATTGCAGATATGCTCACTAAATGCAAACCTAACGGATCACTCAGATCATTAGGATCAAGTAAATTAGACTTCTCGAGAGTTCGATCAAAACACTGTGAATCTGCTTTCAGCTACTACGCCTGCTGGAACTAGCTTTCAGAAATCATCAGGTGATCAGATGTGCTCCAACTGTTTAGCTGTGCCTTACTACTGAATGAGCACTGTGCTACGTCTGACAGATCACACTAATATGTCTTTCTTTTCTTTTTTTATTCCTTTAAAACATGTTAAACACATTTTAATCTGCTTTTCACAATTTTATTCTGTTGTAATTCTTTTCTTATACTTGTTTCTTTTATTCCTGTTTATGTAAAGCACTTTGAATTACCATTGTGTATGAAATGTGCTATATAAATATACTTGCCTTGCCTTGCCTAGTATCACAAACATACAGTTAAAATCAGAATTAATAGAATCATTAAAAAGTGTCAATAAGATGATTTTTCAACACATTTCTAAAGATAATAGTTTTAATAACTAATTTATTTTATCTTTGCCATGATGACAGCACATCATATTTTTCAAGATATTTTTCAAGATACTAGTATTCAGCTTAAAGTGCAATTTAAGAGCTTGACTATGTTAATTAGAGTAATTGGTCATCTGATTGTATATTGATAAAATTTTGTTAAAGATTTACTCCTATAATTTACACAAAGCATCATATGTGTAGGGAGAAGTATGTTGTATTGTGAGTGTTTGGGTTCACCTTATAGAAGAAATACTGGACCAGCTCAGCGATTCTGATGTAATAGTAGTGTCCATGAACCAGCAGCATCTTCTTCAGGTGTTTGAACTTGGTAATTGCATAGTCGCTGTTACGAGCCGCCTGACGTCCCTCTTTACCCATGATACCTAGAGGCAGAAAAAAGAAAAACAGTAACTGCATGGAAGACATTATTGACGTCGCTGTTAAATATACATTTGAAGATTAAATGATTGTGAAATTCCTGTGAAATTTTTAATCTTTACTGTAAAAAAATGAAACCTATACCGTAAACAATTGCTGTAAAGAAATCTAGATTTACAGTTAAATACATTTTTAAACTAAAACATTATTGTTTTTTTTTAAACTGAAGATTATCTGGCAACCACAACTGCCAGTAGTTTATTGTAAAATCAAGGAAAAAAACAGTAAAACCTTAGTCAAATTTCTAACGTCCATTTTATGTGGGAGGAAAGTAGAGCCTGAGTTTAATTCAAAGATGATCAGAGAAACTCTAATGTTATTCTGCATATTATCAGTAATATTAGGCATATATTACACATTACAATTAATACTTCATGAACTCAAACAGCAGTTGGCCAATTTGAGGCAGTCAATTTCAGTAAATGAAATAAGTTCACTTGATTATTTATTCAGTCCATGTATTTTTACAGAAACATATTGTAAAAGGGCAGTTACAGTAACGTACTGTAAAATAACACACCAGCTGCCTGTATTTTACTGTTCATTTACAGGGCAGGTTTTTACAGTGTAAGTGATGTTTACTTCAGTTGGCTACAGAACAAACCACAGTGTCCGATGACTTGACAAAGACAAAAAAGATTAGAAAAACTAATTATTAAAACTATTAATTAGTATAATAAAATTAATATAAATATTATAAATATTATAATTAATTATTAGGTTTAAAAATGTGTTACAAAAATAACATTATCGCCATCACTTAGGAAATATTTTTAAATTAATAAGATTTTTACAGTGCTAATAATTTTGTAACTGCAGAGATTAGTGTTATCACAATACTTAATTTCTAACTTCACTCAATACCGCAAAAAAAAGAAAAAAAAATTTTTTTTTTTTGCATATCGATATATATATATATATATATATATATATATATATATATATATATATATATATATATATATATATATATATATCGATACTCAATACCATTTTCGATAGCACAAGGAAATATTACAACAGCATTTATAAAATTTGTCAAATTTTTTTTGCATGTTTTTCATTTTTTTATTTGCCAGGGATCGAACCTCAAGCATGAATCAATGTTACATTTTTTTATAGTACTAGTTCAGCTGTTCAAATTTTAACTTGCGCTGTCAACAATTAGCCAAAGTATTGAGTTGTTTATCATGTATTGTCCTTGATAGTTAAACTGTACTCATGGAGTTCACAGTGGAAAATTCTAAATAAATTCAGGTATCAATATTCCAAAAAGCTATATTGTATTATTTCAAATATTTTAGTACTAATTAATATCACTAATCTTGGCAACATTATTGGAGAGAAGTAATAACTCCTAAAATTATTTGGTTTTGTGTGCGTTCCTAAAAATCACCTATGCCCACGTGAGCTTCCAGAATCATGCTGACGTCATTGGCTCCGTCCCCGATGGCCAGGGTGATGGGGTGCTCTTTTGATGCTTTTATCAGCTTAACAATCTGAAAGAACAGTTTCATTTCTACAGGTCAAAGCAGAACAACAGAGAGATTAGATGATTAATCAGGCTTTCTGGCTGAGTGTGACTGAGGTGACAGGATAACGGAGAGCGCAAGAGGAAAAAACTCATCCATTTATTTCAAAGGGAAACATTTGTTTGTTGTTTATGCATTCATTTTCCTTCAACTTAGTCCATTTATTCATCAGGGGCCACAGCAGAATGAACCTACAATTATTCTGGCATTTTTTTACATAGCAGATGCCCTTCCAGCTGCAGCCTAATACTGGGCAACATCCATACACACTCATTCACACACACACACTATGGCTAATTTAGTTTATTCAATTTTCCTATAGCGGCTGTGTTTGGATTGTGGGGGAAACCGGAGCACCTGGAGGAAACCCATGCAAACACAGGGAAAATATTCAAACTCCACATAGAAATGCCAACTGACCCAGCCGGGACCCAAACCAGCGACCTTCTGTGAGACAACAGTGCTAACCATTGAGCCACGGTGTCTCCCCTTGTTTGTTGTTAATAACTGGTAAACCTATAAAGGCAGACCTGTTGTGAGTTTTGAGGTTGATAATCGATTGTATGTACGTACGTTGGAGCAACATGTTTAACTTTTTGTTTAAATAATTTGTAACGCTTTACTTTGCTGGTCCATTTGTGTATTAGTAGACTGTCTGCTTTATATCGGTTGATGCTGCTCCTTGAACAGACATTTAACTGACAATACATGTCAACTTGCACTAACTCTAACCCTAGCCCCAACCTAAAAGTCTACTTATAATCTAATGAGAATTAGTTGGCTTGTAGATGCACTGTAATTCACTTAAATTCAACAAGCAGAATGAAATGAAATATTTATTTTATTTTGTGAACTACTGTTAACGAGCCCCTATTATGAGTTTTTGAAAATGACCGTAAGACAGCTTTAAGTGAAGTTGAATATCCAGGTGAAGTTTAAATCTGAAAGTGCGCCGTGTTTAAAACAATTGATTCATCTATAAAAGAGTCGACTCGGAGTAGTTCCAATGAATCATCATTGCAACTCATTTTTAGCGATGTCGGCGTGACATCGATACAGAACTCAAGCCCCGCCAATTTGTTGCATGCAAAGACCCAGGAAAATTGAACCCTCGGTTCCGCCCAAAAACACTGTAGAAAGAAAAAGAGGAAGACAAACACTGTCGCAGATCCTGGCTGAATCATGTCGTGAAGATACTGTGCTCTGAAGTGTGAGGGAAAGTTAGCGTACAGTATTTTCCCTACCCAAAGATGAGGCTATGAAGAGCCAGTGGTTGATGGTTATTTTTGCGAAAATACCTCAGCATTATAGCCCCAGCCTTGTGCTGTGTTCCCATTATTTTTCTGATGAGTGCTTCAGCAATCTACATGCTTACAATGGGGGATTCATCAGCCGTTTGTTAAAGGAAAGATCAGAAAAGACTATTGATGTATGGGACTTTGTCAGAGCTTGACAGTCATACACACACACTCATCCACTACGGCCAATTCAGTTCACCCAATTCACCTATATTGAATGTCTTTGGACTGTGAGGGAAACTAGAGCACCTGGAGGAATCCCACGCAAACACGTGGAGAACATGCAAACTCCACATAGGAATGCCAACTGGCCCAGCTGAGACTCGAACCAGCAATCTTCTTATTGTGAGGCGAAGATGCTAACCACTGAGCCACCATGCTGCCCCCTTACTCAAACCCATACCTTATAGATTCAAAGAAAGTGAGAACTTATTTCTCTTATTTTCTTCCATATCTGTATATCCACCATTTTACCATCATTCTTTAAAAAGTGTCACTAATGCACTTGATATATAAAGCAAGTCATACATCAGTTTGTCGTTTAGCACATGTGATTTAGTACACAGGATTTAGGTGTACGTTTGATGCCAGTAATTGTCTTGTAATGCTGAGTTCTGTCTCTTCTTGGCTTTACAGAGTCCACTTTTCCCAGCAGCCCAGAGAGTGACTGACAGGTTTAGCACGCAGTAAACGAGAAAGAGAAAGAGAGCAGGGTCTGTTCTGATTGTGCTGTGCTGAGAATCGCACACGTTGAGAGAGTACAATAAGCGAATGAGGACAACCTTCCCTGGCAGGTGGCTTTGTGTTTGTGTGTGTGCGTGTGTGTGTGTGTGTGTGTGTGTGTGTGTGTGTGTGTGTGTGTGTGTGTGTGTGTGTGTGTGTGTTTGTGTGTGTGTGTTTATCATCACTGTGGGGACAAAATGTTCCCGAATACAGTCCACACCCAAACCCTAAATTACTCAATCACTGGAGCTCACAATGGAGATGACTAAAACAGCTGCTAAATATTGCTTATGCTAAAAGTATGTTTACATAGATTAAGTAGTTATCTCTTCTCATACAGTTCACTTATTACTACAGAGTCATTATGATATGTGTGTTAATGATACGCAGTGAGTGCATATGAAAGCAAAGCGAACAACTAGTTAATGAGGTATTTACATGTCATATAAACACTGTCTCTCTTCTGACTCTTTATTGTGCAAATTACAGGAGCAGCGCACCACAATATTACTACTTGCACCTGCCTACTTATTAAGTGCATGCACTTATAGTTCACTCAAAAACACTGTTGGGTAAAGTGAAAAGTAATGTATTACAATCCTTGAGTGTTATGGTGGCGCAGTGGGTAGCACAATCACCTCACAGCAAGAAGGTCTCTGGTTCAAGCCTCGGCTTGGTCAGTTGGCATTTCTGTGCGAGTTTGCGTGTTCTCCCTGTGTTCGTGTGGATTTATTCCGCTGTGGCAACCCCTGATTAATACAGGGGTCTAAGCCCAAAAGAAAATGAATGAATGAGTTGCAATCTTATGTCACATTTAAAAATTAATTAGTTACTTTAAAAAGTAAGTCATTTTAAAGATTAAGACTGTAATATATTACTTTTAGAGGTAACTTTACTAAACAAAGCCCAAAAATTTAGTTTTACACATCCTCATTGTGTAGAAACCAATAACTAGGGCCAGACAGAATCTGTGGACATTTTTTGCTATTTCTGCAGAGAATTTTGTAAAAAAAAAATCTGCGGATTTATGCAGAATTATTTTAGAACTATCAAAACTTTTATCGTAAATTAAATTTTAAAAATAATACCTTTTTAAATCTTTATTTAAGGTTTACAATGCAAATCTAATTAGATCCACTTAGTTGGTAAACAAAGCAAGTCTCTCATATAATATATCTACTAAACGACAGAAAATATTACTTTACAAACTGCATTGTAAATAAATCAAATTAACACATTTATATTGGTCAATAACATTACTCAAATTAATTCAAAAACTGAATAAACATAAATGTACCCACATTTACACAAGTAAATAGATAGACTCAATGATTTCATGTGGGCTTACCAAAAACCAATGACTTCCATGGTAGGAAAAAAAGCAAATACTGCAATATGGATGTCAGTGGTTTCCAAACAAGTTTGTGACAAATGAAAGGTGACTAAATGGTGACAGAATTGGAATTTTTTAAAACCCTTTAAGCCTAAAATTAGTGTTAAGCAAAGTGTTTATTAATGTAATATAATTTGGTCAAAAAACAAACAAACCAAAAAAAAAAAAAAAAACACACAATATGCCAAAGGAATCATTGTAATTTAAATGTTCCACACACATATAAAATGCTAATTTAGGAAATTTTACATTTAAATGTATTTGTCAATATTGAAATTTTACAGAGTGTCCATTGCTGTAGTTTCTGTTCTTGATTTTTATAATGCAAATTATTTTGTATCTGTATATTTACAGACAATGTACTGGTAATTTAATTCCAGTAAACTATTTTCCAACAAAGTTGCTGTACTTTTAGTCAACTAAATGATCAAACATTAAATGTATAAATATTAAATCATCAAGTCTCATTCGTAATTGTATTTTAGTGCTATTCTTATACTCTAATATTCTAGTCTTCACAGAGTCCTGAGTGATCTGACTGTAGTGCTGCATCACCTGTGCTTTTTGTAAAGGTGCCATGCGACAGCAGAGTACAGCGCTGCAGTTCCTGCAGATCTCCAGGAAAATCTCCTTATAGTTTCCACTATTGCTGGTTGCGTCCTGTGTCGGCTTTAGCACAGCTGACAGTGTCGCTCCATCTATGATCAGACCATAGTCCTGGTAATCACCGGAGAGCCTGTAGAAGCATGTACAAGTGTAAGAGTCTCAGTGTGTAAAACCAAAACTATTGGCCAAAAACATTTTCTTTAACTAAACAAAAAATGTAAAATTTAATTAACAACAGTTTACTGAACAAATTAAATGAAAAAAAATAATAATAATAGAAAATAATATTCTCTTTTAACATTAATAAGCACTGATTCTGTGGTAGAAAACAGGGAAACATCTGTAGATTTATTTGTACAGACAAAATCATATTTTCTATATAAACATAAAACATTTCTTCAGTTGCCAAATAATGTAAATGAGGCATGTTTAACTACATACACAATCTTTAATATAAAGAAGTTTGTCTGAAGTCTTCACAATTCTTACTTTTATTTGCTCAAGCTGAATTTCTGTGGTGGTTTTGCGCTGCAAATCAAATGCTTTTCTTATTTAGATTTTTTGTCTTGTTTCTAGTCCAAATATCTAAAAATTCTTAAATCAAGAATAATTTTCTAGACAAGCAAAAAATATTGTCTCGTTTTCAGAAATAATATGGCAAAATAAACTGCCAATGGGGTAAGCAAAAATAACCTTCATTTTCCTTTTGAAATAAGATTATTATATAAGTAAAAAAATCTAACTAAGATCTATCTTACTATTCTTATTTTTAAAAAATTAATTAATTAATTAATTAATTAAATTAAATAATAAAAAATATTTTATTTTATATATTATTTTTCATTTATTACTAAGAGGTTTGCACAAGAGTTAATGTAAGCTGTGCAAACACTAACGTTTGCTCTGGTCGACACTAGAAGTGTTCTGTTAACTCAAGAAGCTAAAACTAAAACAGAAAATAAATAAATAAAGACTCAATTAAAACTTAAATAAAGACTATTTTTAAAGATTTAAAAATAGTATCAAAATAAAAACCAATGTAAAAATTAAAAACTTTAAAAACCTTGAAGTGTATACAGTAAAGCTCAAAATGATTCCTACCCCCGGCAAATTCTGACTTAAAGTTATTTTATTCAACCAGCAAATAGTTTGTTTGTTTTTTGACAGAAATTGACACAGCCTTCTCTCATAAGATAATAAGATGATGATCAATTGGCATCATTGTGGACAAAAATCCTTAGATTTTATTTACATTTGAATAAAAACTTCAAGTCAGAATTTGAATAATTTTGGCTTGACTGAACTGTATATATATATACAGTTATATGTGTTCCAATTTTTCTGCAGACCCACCCTGAGAAAGTGTCTCTGGTCATGCTGCCGTGTTGCCTCAGAACGGTCCTGCTCAGGTCGAACAGCACATCGTGGAGACTTTGCTCTTCTGTCCGCTTGGTCGTCAGTTCCAGGATTTGTGTATTGCGATGGAACAACTTGCTAGCGTAGCATGTGGCTGCCGCCGTCTCCATTTTGTCTCCTGTCAGAACCCAAACTTTAATGCCAGCCTTATGGAGGGACTCAATGGTGTCGGCAGCTTTATCCTGCAGCCTGAAACACGAAAATGACAATAAAGAACATTTTATCTTTGTTCATGGTATTATCAAAGAAAATAATTCTACACAAATGTTTCTGAAACCTGGTTTTGTCGATTAAGTTACAGTATCTGTTGCCCGTGGAAGAACTGTACAGTAGACAAACTACTGCATAAAATACACAAGTGAAAATTTCGCAGTGTTTGTTTTGACAGTCTGAATAGTCCAGTAACATCATCAAGGTTTGGCGTGTGTTTCGTCTTTGCGCAGTGCCGGAGTGAGGGTTAATGGACAGTGCTCTGCATGGCTCGCTGGCGGGAAGGTCTTCTACCGCAGTGTGGAGTCTCAGCCCACTTCACTCCGTAATTAAGAAGCCCAGCAGTCAGGATTCACAGTGCCAGATAATTACAAGTCCACCAGTCACTGCACCTCACTCACAGCCCAGCCACGCAGCAAGACACACACTCATGAACAAACCACACCGCACTCCAATAATACACACTTGAATAACTTCACTCAGAGGCATTCTATACTCAAGTTTAAAGAAATCCCAGCATTTCAATTGACATGTCATTCCTTCATCTGATTTTGCCAATATTCAGTTTTGGCTTTGTAATCATTCGTTATAAAAATATTGGCTTATAGTCAGTGTGACACCTGTTGTTTACACATTCCTGGCCTTACATGAATGATTAGTATACTTTATATAAAAAAAAATATATATTTATAATTTATAATTATATATATATATATATAATTTATTAGTAATTTAATTAATTGATTCATTTTCTTTTCGGCTTAGTCCCTTTATTAATCCGGGATCGCCACAGCGGAATGAACTGCCAACTTATCTAGCACATGTTTCACGCAGCGGATGCCCTTCCAGCTGCAACCCATCTCAGGGAAACATCCGTACACACTCATTCACACTCATACACTAGGGACAATTTAGCTTACCCAATTCACCTACAGTATACAGCACCCAGACGAAACCCACGCGAACGCAGGGAAAACATGCAAACTCCACACAAAAACTCCATCTGACCCAGCCGAGGCTGGAACCAGCGACCTTCTTGCTGTGAGGAGACAGCTCTACCTACTGCGCCACCGCATCACCAGTAATTTAATGCTGATAAAAATTAAACTTTAAAAAAATTTTTATTAATTATACAGTTTAATGCATAGAATCTATTGTAGTTTTACATTTAAGTCTGGCTCTGTTCTTGTCTAGAAACTATAGTATTTTTCTTCAGCTAGTTTTGTTCATTTTCCTTGCTGATAAATCAATAATAATTACAACTTTGAAAATAGAATTACTAATGAAATAAAAACTAATAATAATAATAATAAATAAATCTAGTATTTAGTTAGTACTGAAATAAAAATGACCCTGGGTGCAATCATGTTGCCAGATTTTAAAAACTGAAATCTATATAATTTCAAACGTTGAATTTCATTTTCTTTTGCTTTAAATTAAGATTAAAATAGAACAATAAAAATCACAACTATACAGACATATCTACTAATAAAATAAAAACTATTAATAAAGTAGAAAATTATCTATTACTGTATTATTAATCTGTTAGTACTAAAATTGAATTGAACCTGGGTGTGATCACGTTGCCAGATTTTTAAATAGAAATCCATTTATTCATTCATTCATTTAGCTTAGTCCCTTTATACATCAGGAGTCGCCACAGAGGAATGATCCGCCAACTTATCCAGCATATGTTTTACATAGCGGACGCCCTTCCAGCTCCAATCCAGTACTGGGAAACATCCATACACTCTCATACGCTACGGCCAATTTAGTTGATTCAATTCACCTATAGTGCATGTCTTTTGACTGTGTGGGAAACCGCAGCAGGAAACCCACGCAAACATGGGGAGAACATGCAAACTCCACAAAGAAATGCAAACTGACCCAGCCGGTACTCAAACCAGCGACCTTTTTGCTATGAGGTGAAGGTGCTAACCACTGAGCCACCGTGTCACTCTGGCTATAAAATTGACAAACGAAATTTGGTTGATGTGACTGCACCTTTAGCAAGCAATTAATGCAAATTCACATTGTTTTGACATAATTCTTTGCTTATGCAGTAAGTCAGCGATCCTCATCAAATTATCCTCCCATATATTTGACTATAGCGCATGATCTTGAGTGACCTCTTGAAGACACACACAGGCTGGTGCCTACGGGGGCCACTGATTGCATCTAATCAACAGAGGCCTGACAAAATAAGTTCCCGTCCAGTAATCACTGTTTGTTTGCTCTGTCATATTCATTAAGGTGGCAGACGTGGATTGATGTGTTTATTTATAACGCGAGGGTTGGACGGCCTCCATAAGTGCATAAGCCTAAACAGCAGTTCATCAGAAGCGTGTCTGCCGGCCCCCCGATTGATTCAAGAGGGGGTCTAATTACGTTAGATGCTCATTATCAGGACACCGGAGCCTAACGGATGGGCTCTATTGATTGCCTGTGCAATTAACGTTAACTCACACTGGTTCTGTCAGGGCCGCGGGTGCTCACGTGGGCTTCAGTCGGGGGACGCTGGATCTGTAGCTCTCTTTCATCCCGTTATTCGGCCAAACGGAAGTTGGCATTCAGCCAGTTAAAAAATCTAATACTGCTAATGCACATTTGTGCTCGATTTCAGTTCAGGAAAACGCACCTTGCTTATTTAGGCAAATGCAAGATGCACTTTATGGAAAACGTTAAGTTATTATTAACATGCGGATGGTTTTATTGCGCTGGAAAGCAATATTGGACTTGGTTGTGAGTGAGTTGGACGTCATAGTTCTATATATTCCAACCATATGGATTTTTTTGATGGTGTGGTTGGCTCCGGGGATAGGGAATAGGGCTGTAATTCTTAGCACTAAAAGGAAATATCTGCATCAGCTTCTGTAGTGTGACCTGATACCCCTGTTTTAATGGTACAGTGCAAACTTTGGTAGCCTTGTTCCTCACTGGAAATGATTTATTTAAAAACAAATACAGTTGAAGTCAGAATTATTAGCCCTCTGAGTTATTAGCCCCCTGAATTATTAGCCCCCTGTTTACTTTTTTCCCAGATTTCTGTTTAACGGAGAGAAGATTTTTCCAACACATTTCTAAACATAATAGTTTTAATAACTCCTTTCTAATAACTGATTTATTTTATCTTTGCCATGATGACAGTAAATAATATTTTACAAGACACTTCTATACAGCTTAAAGTGACATTTAAAGGCTTAACTAGGTTAATTAGGTTCACTAGGCAGGTTAGGGTAATTTGGCAAGTTATTGTATAATGATGGTTTGTTCTGTAGACAATCGAAAAAAATATATAGCTTAAAAGGGGCTAATAATTTTGACCTTAAAAAAGTTTTTTAAAAATTAAAAACTGCTTTTATTCTAGCCGAAATAAACCAAATAAGACTTTCTCCAGAAGAAAAAATATTATCAGGCATACTGTGAAAATTTCCTTGCTCTGTTAAACGTCATTTACAAAATATTTAAAACAGAATAAAAAAAAATTAAAGAGGGGCTAAAAATTCTGACTTCAACTGTATATACTAAACGTTTGTTCCTGTCCTTTAAACTCATTTCAATGCTATTTTGACCACTAAGTAGAAAATGTCCACAGATTTCATGTCAGAAATATGCCCATTATGCTGTGTAGTAGAGGTCTGCATTCCCACGGCTGTAGGCTACTGCAGGAGCCGTGAGATCAGACCAGATTTCTTGCAGCACGGAATACCTGGAAAAAACCTGGAAGCGGACAGTAACTTGGTGTGATATGAATAGGAGCAGCCGGTCTAACAATACAGCACTCCCGAGTTCCGACGTTATTTCAGAACAGCTTATCTGTGGCTTCCTCATTCTGATTGTGCACCGGTTAAGCCAGGGCTCACAACTGTTACACATGATGAACGCATGGACCTGTGCTTTCTGCATGTGCTTTTTTTCTGTGCGTGCATCATCTGCATAATGATCCTCAGAGCGGGTTTACCAACATGGGAGAGCAAAGTGAAGATGCGCTGTCCTTCAGCTTGCATCAGAAAATGGTCAGTTTACTGTTAGTAAACCCCAATGACTGTAAAAAATATGGACGACGCGACAGCCCTTTTTCCCATTGAACGCCTTGAGGGCAAAACGCCTGCTTGACGGGCACAAACTGTCGCAAAAGACTGCTGAAATTGGAGCCAGACATGCGCAGAAGGATTGTCTGATGGAGCCAGAGGAGGAGCCGCGAAAATGAGCAGAGTCGAGCTTCCAATCAAACGCTTTATGTAAAATCAACTACGCCCCCCGAACTTCTCAGCATGCGTTTGCTGTCATATCAACACAAATGGATGTAATAACGTTAACAAATATGAGGGTTTTATATATTCAATCGCGCCAGCTCCGGGCCGCAGCGCATAACTTACTCGCGGCGTCGCGGGCTGATTCCGGCTCGCATGCGGCAGCGCCTGCTCGCTCGGCTGCCGCATCTGGCTCGATTGACTCGAGCTGGAATTGGGTAGTGAGTCCAGGCATCCGGAGTAGGTCCAGCAGAGGTAACGTTAGTCAGTCTGAGCTCTAAGGGATAAGTCTCCGGCAGGCGAGAATCTAGCCGGAACTGTGTTTTGCTATCTGGGTGGCTAGGCGTGTATCAGCAAACTAATAAAGCCCGAAAAAAGCCCTGAACTTAGCGAATAAACAGTGTTCCACCAGGATCATGTATGTCAGAAACTATAGTTTACTGCTGAACTCATTTTGTCATGGTAAAATAACACAGAAATCGAATAATAACATTTCAGTCTACTTCAGTCTCCTGCCGAAGCTCAGACGCCGCGCTTTGAGAAACTGTCAATCACAGCTGTCAATCACGATGACACGCCCAGCATTAAATTACTGCTAAAAACAAACTGTTTACAAAAATGAAGATCTGCACCTATTTCAGCACAATAACCAGTGCCTTAATCCACCAGAACTATCTTTCGGGACATTTTATTGCAAGTGTAATATTTTTTTTTATTTGGGCTCAAGTCTCCTTCATTAACACGGAGGAGGCGGGCTTTATGACTTGTACTGCAGCCAGCCCCCAGGGGGCGATCTAACGGCCGAAACCTTCACTCAAACGTAGGCTTGCGGCACACTTGGTAAACCCACGTCAGGCAAGTCTTTTTCATGCATCATAGACACAAAAACCTTACCCTTTCCATGATGTGATACCACCTCATAGTTTTACCCTTTTGTTGTCACAAGACTGAAGGTAACCTCAGGTTTAAGGCGGTACTCATGTCTCATCACAAAGGGGCAAACAAAACTGACATATAGATGGGGCCAGACAGAATCTGCTGACATTTTTTGCTATTTCTGCAGAAAGTTTTGTTAAAATCAGTAAATTTAAGCTGAATAATTTTGGGACTATCATAACTAAAAACGTATTATATTTAATAAAAAATAATAACTTTTTAACTTTTATTTTATGTTTACAATGCAAACCCATTTAGATCCACTTTATTTGGTAAACAAACTAAATCTCTCATATAATATATCTACTAAAAGACAGAAAATAATACTTTTTGTATTACGTATTGTTAAAAAATCATAATAATATTTTAATATTTGTCAATACTTATAATGAAATTAATTTAAAAACTGAATTAATATAAATTTACACATATACTGTGTGTAATGTTGGGCTAAAAATCTGCGGAAATCTGTAATTCTGCGCACACAAATTCCGTGGGGGCCTACTTATAGCCAACAATCCTTGCACAACTTACAGTTTTAACTGTTATCTCTCTTTTTGGTAGTACTCAATTTAAACGTGAGACTTTGGAAACCAAATCTAAATTTAGCAGGAATGGTCCAGTTGGGTAGTAAACGGGGCGGTCAGGCAGCGGGTGAACAAAGGCTAAATATACAGGGGGGAAAACCTTGCAGGAGCAGGCGGGAGTAGTCCCGCGCAGATCTCTACTGTGTAGTTATATATATATAGCTATGAAAATGTTCTGTTTCTCCATATTTATTAAATTAAAATTGTGTTATTTTGAGCATTTGTAATAACAAAAAACATATTCAGATATGTTTATATACATTTTTAGTAGGGCTGGGCACTGATTAATCATGATTAATCACATTCAAAGTTGCTTTATTATTAAAGTTTTTTTACGCAACATATGAGTATATTTATTTTGTATATGTATAAAAATGCACACATCTATGCATATATTTGAGAAAATGTTTATTAATTTGTAGATATAAAACACTTACGTATATGATATAAATACAAATTGAAATAAATATGCAAAAAAACTGTGTTGTATATTTCTGTTTTTAGATATACAGTATGTATTACATATATAAAACACACAGAAGTCTTATGTCAAAACAAACTTTTATTTTGGATGCGATTAATTAACCTTTGCCCAGCACAATTTTTTGACAACACAGTATCAGTGTTTTAACTAGGGAAAACCCTAATTTTCAATCACAGTAAATGAAAAAAAAACTAGTTGCAAATTACTAAAGAAAAAACCCTCAAATTGCATTTTTTAAATGTATTTTCGGTATTTTTTTTTTCAATTTGCATAAAAGTGGAATCTGAAATGCATATACCCTACGGCAGTGGTTCTCAAACTTTTTTCATCAAGTACCACCTCAGAAATAAATCGTCTCTCCAAGTACCACCAAAATGACCAGTATTGAAATACAGTCGCGTAGTAGGCCCAGTAAAGCAGCTACAACTCTGCACAGTAAAAAATCGTAGCAGATTACCTCAGAAATATAGGCTACATGTCATATATGTCGTATTATATACATCATTTTTTGTAAATTTTGAAATGTGTGTAGCATTTGCATGACATATTTCATTCCTCCGCGTACCACTAGAAGGAAGCCTGCGTACCACTAGTGGTACACGTACCACAGTTTGAGAACCACTGCCCTACGGTATATTTAAAATATCTCCCAAACATGCATTCCAGATTTTACTCACACTGATCACAAAACAGTTTGGATAACAGTCAGACAACTTCTGCACTTTAAAATCCAAAGTTTGATTCACTTGAGTGCAAGTGTTTTTTTAAAGCAAGTCAGTCAAACTCAGGCGGTATTTGGTGAATGTTAATCAGGCAGTGATTTACCTATCTTCCACAGCCGTGGCTCCCAGCAGGATGAAATCCTTTTCAATGACATCGTAAGCTTCAGCCAGTTTCTTGTCGCGCTCCTGCAGAGCTAGTTTAGCGCTGGTGAGCAGACGACACGTCTCTTCATACTCCTCCTGAGACAGTCTCTTATAAGCCACACAGAGGGTCCGTAAACCTTCCTACAGGGGCAAGATTTAAAACAAAAGTTTAGAAAATTCCTATAAGAAAACATATGTCTTAGCATAAACATAATGTAATGAACAATAGCTGTGCTAAGAAAAGTGAAAATGTTGGCACTATTGACTCCAATACCATTTTTTTTACTCTACAATACAACAAATAGAGATATTTTGAAGAAATGAAGAAATGTTCATGCTGCTCTTTTACATTAAAAGATGGATGTATAGTTTTGCTTTTGGTCTGCACTCCGACACTGTTTTCATGTACATGTAAAGCAGCCAATCACAGTTTGTGTTGAACAGAGTCATGGTTATGAAAAGTATTATCATGACAAGTGTCAATTGTCACAGTTGTAAACACAATGGCCTCCTTCTTCGAGATGAGAGGGTTTGGCATAATGGCAGCTTTGTTTGCAGACAAAAAAAGGAATTTACACACATATATATTTATTCTCAGGATTGCTAGCTTCTTGCAAATGGTGAGTTAAAATTGTAATGTAGTTGAAGTTAACATTTTTAATTATTTGATTTGCCATGAGCTCAAATAACATCAACACCACAACAGCCCACATGGATTATGCACAGATTACTATGTCATATATCACTTTTTATGCAGACAAATATCCCCTTTATGTCTTTTTTTAAAATGTAATATCCACTGGGCATTGTTTGTGCACATAAAAGAGCAGCGTGAAAACATCTCCTTATGGGTTCCACTTAAAGGGACCCAAAAATTAACCTTTACTCACTATTTACTCACCGTTAAGTGGTTTCCAAAACCTTTAAGAGTTTCTGTTTTCTGATTAACACAAAACAAGATACTCTGAAGAATTCTGTAAACTGGTAACCATCGACAGAGGAAAAAAAACTAATACAATGGAAGTCAATGGATACCAGTTTCATTGGTTACATTTTTCGAAATAAAGAAATAAATTGTTGACAAACTTTATGGAGGCTTGAGAAAGCCCAGTCTGAAGGTTTGAAGTAGTTTCAATTAACATATTATTAATTCAAGTTCAAATAATTAAACTAGTATTAAACAAGCCTGAAATAGTTGGCATAGATAAATAGGTGCATATATTAGCTTGTTTCTAGTTGTTTCTAGGCATGTTTCTTAGGTGGTGGACAGGTTGCTAAAGTGTTGCTAGGTGGTTGCTAGTGTGATCTGAGTGGTTGCCAAGCCATTGCTAGGGTGTTCTGGGTCGTTGCTAATGTGTTGGGCGGTTTCTAGGGTATTTTGAGTGTTTGCTAATTTAATTTAATTTAATTTAATTTAATTTAATTTAATTTAATTTAATTTAATTTAATTTAATTTAATTTAATTTAATTTAATTTAATTTAATTTAATTTATTTTATTTTATTTTATTTTATTTTATTTTATTCCAGTTCATTTGTATAGTGCTTTTTACAATAATTATTGAGGAAGACATGAGGATAATAATATAACATTTATACTTTTTTAAAGAATTACAATGATTAAAAAAAAAAAAAAAACATCCCTATTATCACTGGTGATAGAAATGTCAGCTTGGGCTCCTTCAAACAGTCTTGAGAACACCGAGTCTATTGTGTCTGTCACTACAGAAACCTTTTCACTACGCCAAGCAAAGTCATGAATCAGCACAGACGCCAGTGCAACCAAACCCTTTTCTAAAGTGATGTCATTCCTGACCCAGATCTCTGAGAAACACAATGAAGTAACATAGAGCTGTGTCAGTCTAAGACATCAGATACATTCCTCATGCCTGCGACCACAATACATTGCTTTTCTCAAGATGATTTCATTAAATGAGGAGTTTAAGATCATTTCATCGAATCATAAACAGGAAAGGACTTTTTGAAGCTACATCGAGATCCTACCTAATTAATAGTTGTTTATAACACTCATCCCTCTTATGAAAGCTAATGAGATAATCTGCAATGGTAAAGCATTAATAGAAAGACAATGGAGACATTAGCTATGTTTCCATTCAAAGAAGCAAATTAAACATGCGCAAAACTGGAACTTCGCATAAAACATCAGCGAATGAAGCACCGTTTCTATCCCATGAGTCAAAGAGAACAAATCAAGTCACTTCCTAAAACAAATGGTGGCAAATAACAAAAAGAAAGATTGAATTTTCTGCAGTAGGAAAAGAGCCACTGTGGCCTTTTTTTCTTATATAATAAATTAGTTTAGCCTCAGAACACAAAGATAATGGCTTTTGCATTGTAGTAAATTTTTTTAAGTCCATTTTTTTATTTATGAAAATCTTAGAGCCCTATCATACACCAGACGCAATGAGCCTCAAGAGGTGTAGAGCACAATTTGTTGCTATTTTCAGACCAGCACAACAGTAATTTTCACGTTTTGCGCCACATTGTTTAAATCCATTTGCTCCACTTTGTGGACTCATGGGTGTGCTGGTCTAGAAAGGAGGTGTTAAATGTATGTTAAATGTATTGTTCATTTATTAATTGGCTGGAAATTAGAACTGAATTTAGAAATAGTTTTAAAACAAATCTTTGCGCTTAATAAACAAAATTAAATATGTAGCCTAATGATGTCTTCAGTGGAGTGCGTACAACACCGTTTTCTTAATCACAAAAGTAAAGGAGTAAAGAATAAAAGTAAAGTAAAAAGAAAGTAAAGAGGCCAAATGGAGGAGGCTCATTCTTTATCCATGCGCTACAGATGATTTGTTTCACTGTTTTCTCGCTAATGAAGCGTTCAGTTTGTCCACTTACAAAGTCTGCCATGCATATAGCAAATGTGCCATGGCATGACGCAACTGACTTTTAAAGGGAATGAGAGATGAGAATCTGATTGGTTTAGTACTCATTATACTCAAAACACACCCATAACTCGTTAAGAGTATAAGCACAACCATGTTGGACCATGCTCCAGGGTGCAGATCAAGATAGCAAAAATGAATTCGGACACGCCTCTAATGCTTTTGCGCCATGTGCTTTAGACTTTGCACCTACAGTAGATCGTTAAAATATAGCCTTTAGTTACACTTCATAAATGCATAAAAATAAATTTATAAAAAATTGGTTCAAGTGTCGGTTAAAGTGTCAGGGAGATGAAAAAGTCTGTTTTCTACGGGTGATTTGTCAAGCCCACTCACCTGTGTGAGGCACACTAAGGATTGCATAATGTTTTGAGTATTTGAGTAAACATAGCTTTGGTCTTTGCGCTTTCTTTCTTTCTAATTTTCAGGAATATTTCAGGTCCTTTTAGGCTCTCTTTCAGGATGGTTCTCAAGCTAAACAAAAGTTGCATAAGCAAACATTTGGGGGGAGCTTTTTTTATTCTTCATCAAGATGTAGGAAGGTTCTTTTGTGACCTATAAATAGCTCTGCTAAAATAAGAAAGAAGATGAAGATGTTTCCAATTTCTGCTCACCACAGCGTTGTGCTCGACTCGCGCTCTGACCTGCTCCACCTTCCCAGAAACCACCCGTGGGAAAACAGAGGAATCGGCACCTTTACAGAACAAGTAGTACTCGCCTAGAGCAAACAAACAATTGAAGAATAAAATAATTAGCAACTATACAAAAAACTTCCTTCAATAAATCTATAACAGCTATTAATTCAAAACAGTAGACCATATGATATGTATTTATTTATTTGTTTACTACAAGTTACAAGTTTTAATGCATTTAATAGCACTTTTTTTACACATACTGGGAATCATTGCACTACCTCTATTCTCTGTTTAAAACATTTAGATTGTATTGTGGGCGGTGCGGTGGCGCAGTGGGTGGTGATGTCGCCTCACAGCAAGAAGGTTGCTGGTTCGAGCCTCGGCTGGATCAGTTGGCATGGCTGTGTGGAGTTTGCATGTTCTCTCCGTGTTTGTGTGGGTTTCCTCCGGGTGCTCCACAAGTCCAAAGATTGTGCTATGTGAATTGGGTAAGCTAAATTGTCCATTGTGTATGTGTGTGAATAAGAGTGTAAGGGTGTTTCCCAGTGATGGGTTGCAGCTGGAAGGGCATCCGCTGCGTAAAACATATGCTGGATAAGTTGGCGGTTCATTCTGCTGTGGCGACCCCTGATTAATAAAGTGACTAAGCTGAAAAGACAATGAATTAATGAATGAATAAATGCGATTGAGTTGTAGTTTCTACAAAGCCCCTCCTTCTGAAAGCCTCAAGTGCTTTGACTGGCCAGCTGAGTAAGTGTATTATGATTGGCAAATCAGTTCAAGTTTTTCTTTGTGTAAAAATGTAAGATCTTAAATGTAAAATGCTGAAATAAACAAAGAAAATGCACATTGTTTCAAACTAGCCAAGCAAAAAAAAAGATCAAGAACAAACTACAATTGTCTAAGCTTATATCTTATGTATTACTTTGTCACATGGATATTTAAATTTATACCATATACATACATTCACCGGCCACTTTATTAGGTACACCTGTCCAACTGTTTGTTAATGCAAATTTCTAATCAGCCAATCACATGGCAGCAATTCAAGCATCAGATTGGGGTAGAAAGGTGATTTAAGTGACTTTGAATGTGGCATGATAGTTGGTGCCAGATGTGCTGGTCTAAGTATTTCACAAACTGCTGATCTACTAGGATTTTCACGCACAACCATCTCTTGGTTTACAGAGAATGGCCTGAAAAAGATGTCACGAAACACGTCCTACCTTGAGGCGGAAAGGCTACAGCAGCAGAAAACTACACCGGGTGCCACTCTTGTCAGCTAAGAACAGGAAACTGAGGCTACAATTCGCACAGGCTCACCTAAATTGGACAATAGAAGATTGTGAAAACGTTGTCTGGTCTGATGAGTCTCGATTTCTGCTGCAACATTGGATAGTAGAGAACCAGGCATCAACAACATGAAAGCATGGATCCATCCTGCCTTGTATCAGCAGTTCAGGCTTCAGCAGTCTATCCCTTTATGACCACAGTGTACTCATCTCCTGATGGCTACTTCCAGCAGGATAACGTGCCATGTCATAAACCGCAAATCATTTCCGACTGGTTTCTTGAACATGACAATGAATTTACTGTACTCAAATGGCCTCCACAGTCAAATAGAGCACCTTTGGGATGTGGTGGAACGACAAATTCATATCATGGATGTGCAGCCGACAAATCTGCAGCAACTGCATGATGCTATCATGTCAATATGGACCAAAATCTCTGAGGAATATTTCCAGCACCTTGTTGAATCTATGCCACAATGGAATAAGGCAGTTCTGAAGGCAAAAGTGGGTTCAACCCGGTACTAGTAAGGTGTTATATGATCTTAAGCTCGAGTCACATTCTAACAATGCAGACCACGTAAATCAAGTCTTACATGGCGACAACATAACGGCCTTCTATGTTAGATAAAATAGTTCCATTATTGGTGTCCCCATTATTAGTTCTTTAGCTTCACAGATTTTATTCAAGCACAAACACACACATAACAAAGCATCATATGACCTCTGTGTTTCAGCTTTTCTATTTCATACCCTTTTTCTCTCTGAAATGCCCTACACTATGACAGTACACGAAAAGTGGGTCATAAAAGTCATTTTGTGTTGACTTAAAATGAGAATATTAGTTATGCTGTCGGGCCCGCAATACATTCAAGAACATCCTAATTGCTTTTTTAAAATGGGAAGATTAGTTATCAGGTCAATTGTATGTGACTGAATGCATTGAGGAATCATGCCGATGTCTAAATCCAGCTCTCATTTGTATGCTAGTAGCACATTGACCCACTTGCATTAACTGGCCCTCCATTTAGGCACACATGGTGACTCAGAGAAATTTCAGTGGAATGTGCGACTGTCTAGAATGAGTGGGCGTGTGTGCATGTGTGTGTGTGTGTGTGTGTGTGTGTGTGTGTGTGTGTGTGTGTGTGTGTGTGTGTGTGTGTGCGTGCGTGTGTGTGTGTGTGTGTGTGTGTGTTTGCTCGGCTATCATTTGAGGACAAATTTATCCCCAGACATTCGTTAAATCCCTTTGGGGATGTTCTCAAATAGGGGAAAAAAGCATTCATAAATAAAGGGAATAATTAGACCTGCCAATCGGCTTACATGAAATACAGGTTAATGAATTAATGCAAATAATTATGATTAATTCTATATATATCAACATTTGCAGAGGAAATTCAACAGATGAAAACAAATGAGAAGTTGTTTATAATATTTTAATAATTTAATATATTATATATAATATTCTGTTCTAATAATGAACATCATTGACATAAAAAAGAGATTAACTGCAATAAAAATGAGAGAAAATAATTATTCAAACTATATTAACGCCCTAAACTGCCACTTATAGTGTTCTTAAAGGTATAATGTCATCCTTTACTTTATAATTATATATAAAATTTACATTTGCTTTATATACTAAATAACAAAGCAGAATCAAGTCTAACAAAGTAAATAAGTGTCTATAATTAGTGTACTTAATTTTGTGGACACATTTGTGCTGAGAAGTAAGTTAAATCTGACACATACACACTCACACAAAAACTTTTAGGGTCATAAAAATATATTTAAAAAAATCAAATAAAGTGTATTATTGTTAAAAATATGTCATTTTCTTTAAGGATTATAGTATTTAAAACTACCTATGTAAATGGTTGATGAGGACATGTCTTTGTTATTCAAATTCTTAAAAGACACTAAACATTCACTCATTCATTTTTCTTTGGCTTAGTCTCTACTTTAGAGGTTGCCACAGCAGAATGAACCACCAACTAATCCAGCATATGGGGCGGATGCCCTTCCAGCTGCAACCCAGTATAGGAAAAAAGTCAATCACACTCAATCACACTCATACTATAATTTAGTTTATTCAATTCACCTATAGTGCATGACATGCATGATAATGAATGGGGGAAACTGGCCCAGCCGAGACTCAGCGACTTTCTTGCTGTGATGTGACAGTGCAAACCACTAAGCCACTGTGCCACCCTAAACAATGTCTTAAAAAAACTTTCAGGTGGTTTCTGTCAGGGGATATGTTTGCATTATCGATATATAAAATTTCTACAGTATAAATATCATTATGGAAACACCACGTACAACTGTGTGTGTCCCTGTAATTCAAAAAGCTTCAAAAAGATATTTAACGGGGTCTTTTAGGCTTAGACCCTTTACTCACAGCCGAATGAACCACCAACTTATCCAGCATGTGTTTTACGCATGCCCTTCCAGCTGCAAGACAACACTGGGAAACACCCACACACTTCTGCATTCACACACATACACTATGGCCAATTTAGCTTAATTAATTCACCTATAGCACATGTCTTTGGACAGTGGGGGAAAACAGAGCACCCGGATGAAATCCACACCAAAACTGGGCCAACAACTGACCCAGGCGGGACTCGAACGAGGAACCTTCTTGCTGTGAGGCGATCGTGTTACCCACTGCGCCACCATGACGCCTTAACATTGGGGTTGGATGTAATAAGCCGTTAGGGTTAGATATAAAAAGCCAATTTTACAATATAAAATGCATTACGCCAAATGAGTGTCCCTGTAAACCACGTATAGACCATTTTGAGGGATGTAAACAAAAACAATGGTCCCATCGTATTTCCTGTTTTACATTTTTAGTTTCTATAGCTTCCGAGAATCCAAAAAGAGCCAGATATAGAAAAATAATGTTATGATAGCTGTTTTACCATTAAGTTATGACTGAACCACCTCTTGTTAACGTTATAAAATTGTTTGATAACAAGCAGGAAAAGTTCATGGGCCAATGACATGACCACATTGAAATGGTTTACACAAGTATGTATGTATGTATGTAAGAGTGTGTGTTCATCCTACCCGAGTTTGATCGTACGATTACACTCATTCTCCTCCTCACCGAATCAAAGTTTAACACATCCAGCAGCTCAAATCTGTGAACACATAAACACAAAGGCAAATATTTTGTATTTAAAAGGTTAAGTGACAACTGACTATGTCCACATTTATGCTCGCATAAATCAGAGGAATGCATGGCGTTTGCTGGGTGTTTTGGGATGCATCTTTATCACAGACGGACAGACTTTTTATGGGACTGCGCTCTGTGCTGACCCTCATGTTCTCAGCTGTAGGACAGTGTGTAGCTGCACTAATTATGGCTGGTCCTTGTCCTTCAAGGGCATGAACACACACACATACACACATAGACAAACGCACACACACCAGTCCCCTCACTGCCTGAACAGGGGAAACTTCACTACCTAAAAGTGTTATCTTAAAAAACACACAGTTGCATTAATATGCCAACCTAATTTGTAAATACGCAAATGATTAGAGATTAACTGAGCAAACTGTTCTCTTACTGAGCTTTCTTTCCTTTTTAAAATGCTAGAATTAAATTAAAGTGAGTTAAAGTGCTCGAAATCTGGTATGAAATTAAAAGCCTATTTGGAAATCATTTAGCCCTAAAATTATTCATACCCCGGGCATATTCTGATGTGAAGTTACTTTTATTCAACCAGAAAGTTTTATTTAATGAAATTGACTTCCAAAAGATAATAAGATGATGTGCAAGAGGCATCATTGTGAGGAAAAATGTCCTTCTCAGCTTTTATTTACATTTAATAAAAAAAGAGGCAAAATTATTCATACCCTTTGCAAACTGTCACAGTCAATAGGAAAATCCAAAATTCTATACCCTTCCAGAAAGTCCAATAGTTCTAAAGCATCCTAATTACCCTGCCATGAACACCAGCGATCTAGCCCTTATAGACATCTACTATATGATCCGGACTACAATTCTGCCCCTGAACTGCACTACATCTCCCATGTGGCACCTCACACACACACCAGTTCCAGATCACCCATAATTACACACACAAAACCTCATGATGGACTAATCAGATGGACCACATAAACAGCGCACACACACACAAACACACACACACACACACACACACACACACACACACACACACACACACACAAATACAGACACACAAATACATACACACACACACAACACACACACAAACACAACTACACACACACACAAATACATACACACACACACACACACACACACACACACACACACACACACTTTGCTGACTCTTGTTACCCTATAACCCCTGTATCCCCTGTTTATTTATAAACTAATTTCGAGAGGATCACATGCTTATGATTGTCCACAGCTGGTCCCGCATTAACTTATGATTAATTCACTAATCATATAATTTCTAATTCGCTATAAATAAGCAGTTTCTTATCTCAGTATCTTCATCTCGATGAATCTCTCCTCCCACCTAGTAATTAGATGGGCGACACGGTGGCCCAGTGATTAGCACTGTTGCCTCACAGCAAGAATGTCTCTGGTTAAAGTCCCTACTAAGCCAGTCGACATTTCTGTGCAGAGTTCGCTCCCCATGCTTGCGTGGGTTTTCCCCAGGTTTCTCCAAAAAACACACAATCTAAGTAAATAGAACAGACCAAATTGACATCAAAGTCAAGCTCTTAGTATGCCGTATATCTCTCCTTAGCAATCCCTATATCTGTCGATAGCCAGAAATAAGTCAGGGGAGTTCATCAAGATCTACCTGAGCTCAAACTCCCCTCTTGCCCTGCTAACGGGAGGGAGCCCAGGACTCAAGGATCTTATTGTCATGATAACCAGCGATCTAACCACCAGAGGTCGCTGGTAAACATTCACACACATAAGACTACAAGTCTGCTTGCAAATGGACTACATATTCAGTCATGCCACACACACACACACCTGCTCTAAATCTCTACTGATTACAATCGCACAGCTGAAGCTGCTCAAGGACTGATTCTCCGACTCTGGATTGCCCTCATACATCTGTTTGCCCCCATATTGACCCCTGCTTGCCTGACCATTCTAATAAACCTGCATGTGGATCCTCACCTCTGTTGTCAGTGTCACATCCCTTGGTTTCACTTATAAGCTCAGGGCTCTCTGCCGGGACAGCATGCCAAACAAGCTAATTACTAATCATAAGCTAGGTCTTAACTCTTGAAGCATTTTTTTCTTTTTTGTAGGTAAAAATATACATCACATAAAAACGTATATTTAACCTATTAATGCATGTAAGTTTTTTTTTTGGATAGTGTAAAGTAAGATTTTTGGACAGACTGATGGACTTGCAAATGCTGCTACAGTTTCCTGTTGGTCATTGAGCTCATGCTGTTGTCCAGATGGCTCACCTCTCCATCTCATCCTCTCTGTTAAGGATCTCCATGTGACTGTCCTTCAGACGGAGGTAGGTGAAGCCCAATCTGAGCAGGTGAGAGAAAGAAAAACAAGTTTCTTTATGATTGTTGCTGAGCATTATTTATTCTAGATTTGTATGATTGTGTTATAAATGGCTCAAAAAGCTATACAGTATATACTACAGTGTGTATAGTATATTGTAGGAGACCTCAAAAACGTGTAGGAACCATAAAAATAGCACACTTAAAGGGATAATATGAGTTTTATGATCAGAGTATTGATTTACACGTAATATATAAATAAATAAAGATTATTCATACGCATTAAATAAGTGATTTATTGTTAAAACTGCATACTGGTAGGGTTATGTTATAGTATCTATAATAGCTATATGTAAAACATGATAAATGTGTGTGTGAATAGGTGTGAGGGTATGAAACAATGGTTTATGATTTATTGACAATAGTTTATTTAGATCAGAGTAATAATTTACACGACGCGTTCTGACTGTTTTGGCAGGAAAATGAAATATAAAATTGCTCTGTCATCCAAAGTGAGACTCTGTATCTCAAACCTTGAAGGACAGTGTCTAAAGTGCAATATGGTGGCCCTGTTTTGTGTCTGTGTGTGTAATATATATGCATTCATCTTGCCTTTTCATGCCCTCCACCAGCGCAACCTCGTCTGGGGAAGAGGAGATATAGAAAGATGTGGCTTTGCCCTGATGTATTCCTCTCTTAATGCCGTCGACCGTCTCCTCTTCCTTTACCTGGACAGTGTGGCACAGGCACAGCGCACGAAAAAACAGCTCCTCTCGCTCCTGTACAGGCAAAACGCATGCAGTTGTGAGGAACGACTCCTGCAGATCTTTTTCAACAAAAATACATCAAGACATTAAAGGGATAGTTGACCCAGAAATCAAAATCTTTTGACCCTCAATCATCCATGATGTATTGTAGCTGACATTTTGTTAAGGAAGATATTTAGCTGAAACAATGGTCATCAGTGATTCATGAAATGTAAATCGATGACTCCCATCACTTTGAGTAAAAAACAGGAAGGTGGTGTTCTCAAGACTGTCATGACACCTTTATAATCATGACATAGCAGGTCACGAATATGAAGGAGATTGTATGCATGTTTATGACACCTTTATGAAGTGCAGTTTAGACATTTTTTAAATGCAAAGATGACATTGTTTGAGATGTTTTTGTTATAACAACTTGACATACAGTTAAAGTCAGAATTTCTAGCCCCTCGATAAAATCTTTGAAAATAAAAGTGAGTCGACTAAGTGGACAAGAATTATTTGTCTGTTTCCTCTCACACCAGCAGAAAGGAAGATAGATAGACTAACAAAGCCAGATTAAGTGACAAAGACGAAGAGATAACAGGAGACAGAAAGGCTATCAGTGTCTGAACAACATGCAGTCAATACCCATTTATCCTGTAAATATTTGGATGCATCTGATACATTACAAATCTAAACAACAACCAACTCTGAAGTTTAATTGTATTATGAACACACTTCAGCCTAATGATCTCATTAGAATGGACAAACTGAGCCGATCTAATTTCCTGACTGATATTCAAAGAGATCACATTTAAAACTGCAACTGTCGAGATGTGAGACGAGTTAACAAATTCTTTCACAGATGTTTTAGTTAATCTTCAGAATTAATGTGTCACGTCGTCACAAAGCTGATTTATCAAAGATAAAATTAAAATCCATCCATCACGCCATCCATCCATGGCTAAAATATTCATGCTAAAACTTGCCGTCGATAATATCAGACAATTTCTGTGCATTGAAACATAACTAGTCACCGATAACCACACATTCTCATCTCTTACTTTGATGAATATAATATTATTATTGTGGGAGAAAATGCATTTGGTCAAACTGATTCATTAAATTGAATAATGACAGGAAAACTTAAGGTAAACTTTACCTAGGGACTAGATGGTAAAAAATTTGGGGAAAAAAAAATTACATGACAATTGTTTTCATATTTTAATTATGTTTTTAATTTTACAGTAAATACTTTTTTGGACTTTTTTGGATTAAATAAAAAATATGAAAATTAAATAAAATAAATAAATACAAAATTAAATAAAAAAAATTAATTAGCTAAGATTTAAAACCAAATTAAATTAATGCAAAAAAAGAAATAAAATTAAATAAAATTTAAATTTAAAATTAAAAATGCTAAATTAAATTAAGTTAAATTAAAGCCCAAAAATATAAAATTAAATTAAATTAAATTAATAAAGGAACTAAGCCAACAAGAAAATGAATGAATGAATGAACAACTTAAATAAAATAAAATAAAATAAAATAAAATAAAATAAAATAAAATAAAATAAAATAAAATAAAATAAAATAAAATAAAATAAAATTAAATTAAATTAAATTAAATTAAATTAAATTAAATTAAATACACAAAATTAAATTAAATAATAACAATATTTTTTTATCTAATTAAAGCAAAAAACAAAATTAAATTGAATTTAATTTTAAAAATATATAAACTAAACTAAACTAAGCTATGCTAAGCTAAGCTAAGCTAAACTAAACTCAATAGTATCTGGATGCAGCCTTTATGATGCAAGCTGAGACTGCATCACTCAGCGATGCAATGTCAGACACAATGCACTCAAATGGAGCTAGTGACGTCACAGTGACGGGTAGGGTTAGGGGTGGGGTTAGGTGAGCCCATTAAAAAGCATTGGATGCAGCCCAGATTGCACTGCACCAGGTCTGCAGCCAGACCCCTCTCACTAAACTAAATCAGCTATAATCAAAACAAGAAGCTCACCTTTCCCTCTACACCTGGAGAGGAGTCAATCATATCCATTCCAGCAGCTCCAGGTAAGATCTGCCCATTACAGATGGCATGTGGCACATAGACATGTCCATCCACGCAACACTCCCTCAGCTCCATGTTATTTTCTGTCAAAGTGCCTGTCTTATCAGTGAACACATATTCCACCTGTAAAAAAAACAAGTGCCATCCACTGTAAAAAATGCAGGGTTCCACGCAATTCATTGATGTTGACTGGACCTTGACCCAACACAAATTGATTAAGTTAATTTAGGACTCTTAACAAAATTTTTTGGATTGAACATTAAAAAAATTAAGTTGTCCCATGAAATCTAAAGAATTGTGTTGTTTTAGCTCATTTGAATTAAGTTGTTTGAACGAACAAAAACAAATATTTTTTTGAGTATAGTAAACAAACAGTGACCCAAACAGCAGTTTAAAAGTGGGCTAAAATTGTCTGCTACCTGTCCAAGCTCCTCATTGAGGTCCGAGGTATTGACCAGCGGCCTTTCTCCAACCTCCTCATCAAACATGTCGTCGTCCCACAGGATAAAGTAGGAGCCCAGGAACTTCTGCATCTCCACCGTCACGTACATAGACACAGGAATGATGTAGTTAAACAGAACCATGAAGGCCAGGAAGTCTGTGAAAGCCCGGATTAACTGAGGACACAAAACAACATGGGATGTTTGGGTTGTCGCATTTTCGACACAATGTATATATATTTTTTTAGTTAATACATTTTTTTTTGTATTTACCAAATCTGTTTGTTTATTTATTTATTTATTTATTTATTTATTTATTTATCCTATAATAATAATAATAATAAAAATTATTATTATTATTATTATAACTAAGGTTATTAGTTACCACAACTTTATTAGTTACTAATAACTTTAACCAACTAATTAGTAACTAATAGCTTTCAACAGTTAAAGTTATTATAAACATAGTTAACCTGCAATTATATAGCATATACAGTAGGTGATGTCCATGTGTATGTATAAATTAAGTGTATTTGTGTATTAAGTGTATGTGTTGTCCTTGATAATAATAATAATAATAATAATAATAATAATAATAATAATAAAAAGAAGAAAAAAGACATTGTTTATAGCACATACTACATGTCGTTGCCTCTCAGACTCAGTCCTCTGGTTGTACCAGGGCTCATCTCTGTTCGGGTCGGCCTGCCAGACATACTTCAGGACAGTATTGATCAGAGCTTTACTGATCAGAATGCAGAGGTACACAATCAGATAGGCGTTCATAGACCTGCAATGCAAACAACAAGCAGATGAGAAACACCCAAAATCATGCTTAATGTTTTCTGGACATGTATCCTAAACCAGTGTGACTTGGCCAGAGGGAATGTAAAGTCAACATCCAAATACTATCTCAAATATTTAAATTAAATGGGAATTTCAAGCAAAAATGGCAATTTACTTCATGCTTATTCAGCCTCAGATTATTAAAACTTATTGTGAGCTTTTATCTGTAGAACACAAAAGAAGATATTTCGTAGAATGTTAAAAGGTGGCTATTGACATCCATAGTAGGGACAAATACTTTGGAAGTCAGTCTAAAACTATACAACATTCTTCAAAAGCATTCTCTTTTGTGTTTAATTGTAAAAAGAAACTCAAAAAATGTAAAATCGATGACTATTGTTTGTTATTTTTAGGCGAACTACCCGTTTAAAGGGCTAAAAAAGGAAATCAACATTTATTTGATTTAAAAAGTCAATGACATCTGAAACTCTGAAAATAGATCTCTGAAAGTACACTTGTTTATTTAATAAATAGAGATCTGATGTATTTGCCTAATGGCTGCATTTATCCGTCTGTCGCAGAAACACATGTGAGCGCAACTTGATACCATTTGTGACATCAAATACAGAGGCCCACAATTTGCTTTACAAACAGGACACTAAATGCATTACGCTGTACATGCTGACAGCAAGATAAACTGATCGAACGTCTATCATCGTGTCTTACTTTTCAACAGCGGAGCGTTTCTGAGACTTGGACTGGTAGTTAAGGGCCATCTTGGTTTCCATGCCCGTGTAAATGGCCACAGCTAGAAAAACAAGAAACCACAGAGTTAGTTATGATTAAAGAAACCATTATATGCACTGTAATAAATGCTGGGTTCCACACAATCCCTTCATGTTGTCTCAACACAAATCGATTAATTTAACTTAATGGTTTAAACAAATTTATGTTAATTGAGCTGTTTTTTTTTCAGCTCATTTAAATTTTTTAAACAAGCAGCTAAATTATTTTTAGGTGTACAGTTTCCTCTGCTAATGTTGGCACCCTTTGTTAATATGAGGAAAGAAAACTGTGAAAAAATGTCTTTAATATTTAACTTTTTGATCTTTGACCCACCGGCCACTTTATTAGGTACACCTGTCCAACTGCTCGTTAACGCAAATTTTTAATCAGACAATCACATTGCTAAACTTAATGCGTTTAGATATGAGACACGGTCAAGATGATCTGCTGCAAGTCAAACCGAGCATCAGAATGGGGAAGAAAGGCGATTTAAGTGACTTTGTACGTGGCATGGTTGTTAGTGCCAGACGGGCTGGTCTGAGTATTTCAGAAACTGCTGATCTACTGGGATTTTGATATCTAAATGTTTGTGTCGTGTCACGTCATGTGCGGAGAGTCAAATTGCTTGTCTCGGGAATCTTGTTGTGACATGTGTTGTAAAAACTGCACAATGTTTCCAGAAGTGTGGATTGTTGATAAGAAAGTGTCTGGTGCACGCGGAGAGGAGAGAGTGTGTCCTATGGGTGGTTTGTCAAGCTCATTAACCTGCATGAAGCACACTCAGAATTGGACAATGTTTTCAGAGAAATATGGATTGTTTATAAGAAAAGATTCTGTAATTTAAAAGTTTCTGGTGTAAATAAATAAAAATAGAGTCTGTTGTTAGCAAGTACTGATGAAACAGACCCGTTTTTAGACATTTCTTGAAAACGCCAACCAGATTTTCCCAAGTATGACATGTTCATGGATTAACATCCATGCTGAACCTGGAACAGCATTCCAATCAGCCGATCAGATTTAAGGGATACGTTTACCGTTTATGTTCAGTTTAAACTTACCATTAGGTTTATGAACTACATCCATATCTACGTGATTGTTATCCAACTATTATTCTGATTTTGGGAATAATCTACTGTTATGGTTGGGTTTAGGGGAAGGGAATAGGTATGTATTACATATTCCAACAAAAATTATGTTCCAGGATCAACACAGATGTTAATACAGGATCACATTGTGCTTGGCAAAATCATGACGTGCTCTTGAAAATGATCATAGACTGATCATGTAGTTTGGCAAGTCATTCCAGCAGGACGCAACATTAAAGGTTAATCTTTCTTGCGATTGATTTAATGCCCCCTTGGGATGGTACCACAAAGTGACGCATTCAGTAGCAAAGCACAGGCACAAAAGCCTACTTTCATACAGCTATATTCTCATTTTGTCAACAAACAACCTTTTGTCACAAATCACTGCTCTGACTTTGCTCTTCTCCACTGTGATGAATGACTGAGTGAGTTTTTGGACTGTGCATTTCTTCATATTTATAGCCCTGTGAAACAGGAGGTCATGGTTGAACAACCTTCTGTTCCTAGTCACTGTGGTGTGCTAAAATATATATAAAATATCAATAGGAACGTACTTCAAAAATATTTCACTCATATGTATTCATAAATAGCACATACAGGTAAAGTCAAAATGATTTGCCCTCCAGAGAATTATTTCACAAATGATGTTTAACAGAGCAGGGCATTTTTCACAGTATTTCCTATAATATTTTTTCTTCTGGAGAAAGTTTTACTTGTTTTATTTCGGCTAGAATAAAAGCAGTTTTCATTTTTTCTTTTAAACCATTTTAAGGTTAATCAGCCTTGGGAAGGGCGCCCAGGTATATTAACAGCCGCCCAAGTATATTTGGTGACATTTATTTTTTTTTATTATTATCACTTTTTTTTTTGGATCCGCCTGCACGTTTCCTACTTCTCGTTGTGTGTGCGGGAGAACTGTAAACACTCCTCCGGACTATTTCACGTGCTTTGCAGAGACCCACAGAGATGTGCCTTTTTGGGACTTAAAATCATCAATCCAGGGTTTCTAAATCTCAGAAAATGTCCAGGATTTGGCTTTTGGTTTCACTTTATAAAGTCATCCTTAATTGTATGCATTTTCTCATGACTTTTTTATTTTAAGCCTGATTTACTTTAGCTTGGCTTCACAGCTGACAGCACTTGCACAGCTGCAAGACCGAGAGAAACATTAAATAATCAATTCTTTGATCTAAACGACTCAGATAAACTTTTCTTTTTAGTCAGAGAGGATAAAATGACATCTAAACTGGCTGCAAAATATACAGTTCAAGTCAGAATTATTAGCCCCCCTTTGGTTTTTATATATATATATATATATATATATATATATATATATATATATATATATATATATATATATATATCCCAAATGATGTTTAACAGATAAAGGAAATTTTCACAGTATGTCTGATAATATTTTTTCTTCTGAAAAAAGACTTATTTGTTTTATTTTGGCTAGAAAAACAGCAGTTTTAAATTTTAAATAAATCTTAAAGTACAAATTAGCCCCTTTAAGCTGTATAGAAGAGTTTTAAAAATATCTAGTCAAATATTATTTACTATCATCATGGCAAAGATAAAATAAATCTGAAATTATTAGAAATGAGTTATTAAAACTATTATGTTTAGAAATGTGTTGAAAAAATCTTTCCATCAAACAAAAATTGTGGGGGAATTCGGTCTTCAGCTGTATACAAAGACAATTGTATCTTGACAAAAAACTCTTGTGTTTGCAATTGCTTGTTCTCAGTGAGACATTTTGTGGTTAAACAATAACGACATTTTTCACAAGCTTCTTTGCTTCTATTTACCACAGCTCTTTTTATTCTGTAGCGGATCATAGCAGCTCAGCTGAAACAGTTCAACATTTTTTTCAGCTTGCCCCGGTCTTGAATCCTCACGTGTATAATGTGACATTCATCTCTCTTTCTCTCTCTCTTTCTCTCTCTCTTTCTTTCTCTCTCTCCAGCAATTACGAACTTCTCTCTGATCTCACAAGCCTGAGTGACTCATTTAATTACAGTGGGAACAGAGTGACAGAACGACTCCATCAGCAACTCTCTTCTCTTATTCTCTTGCCTCTACCTTGTAGGCTGTATCAGGTTATTATAGTGATGGATCTTGGCGTCATCAGTAAGTTTAGGTTTCCAAAGCGATACAAAAACTGATTAAATATATGCCTTGAACTGGATTGTGCGTTGTTCAGTGTATACAACACAATCTCACGGCAATTCGTAACTTTTTGATTTAGTGGCTAATTCGTATGAATTAGTACAATCTAATTCGTACAGTTTAGTACGATTTGCTCATCACCCAATGATGGTTGGCGTTAGGGGTGGGGTTAGGTGCCACGCCTTTTTCCTTTTTAAAATCGTACATTTTCGTATGACTGCACTCATACAAATTAGCCACTAAACTGACAAAACGTAAAATACTTACGTTTCCTCGTGAGATCATGCTGGTATTTATACAATATACATTATATATCATGTATACACATACAAAATGTTTTTTCTTACCATGTATGTATTCTGTGTTTTTCAGTGTGGCTCCACGTAGCAGCAGATTCTCAGAACCCAGAGGTCTGAGAAAATCAAACAATATCAAATTCAGAATTACACATATAATAACTTTCTTTTTTTGGTGCTGAAAATTTATACTTAAAGACTACCTTAAATTAAAAGAAAGGTAAATAGGTAAAAATCGTAACATGTAAAATAAAAAACCATTGCTAAAAAAAACAATGAAAATATACAATTTTGTGCTATATAGAACATACACTCACCGGCCACTTTATTAGGTACAACTGTCCAACTGCTCGTTAATGCAAATTTCTAATCAGCCAAACACATGGCAGCAACTCAATGCATTTAGACATGCAGACATAGTCAAGATGATCTGCTGCAGCTTAAATCAAGCATTAAAATGTGGAAGAAAGGTGATTAAGGTGACTTTGAATGTGCATGGTTGTTGGTGCCAGATGTGCTGCTGTGAGTATTTCAGAAACCGCTGATCTACTGGGATTTTCACACACAACTATCTCTAGGGTTTACAGAAAATGGTCCAAAAAGAGAAAATATCCAATGAGTGTCAGTTCTGTGGATGCAAATGCCTTGTTGATGCTAGAAGTCAAATGAGAATGACCAGACTGGTTTGAGCTGATAGAAAGGCAACTGCTTGATGCTATCATGTCAATATGGACCAAAATCTCTGAGGAATATTTCTAATACCTTGTTAAATCTGTGCCACGAAGGATTAAGACAGTTCTGAATGCAAAAGGGGGCCCAACCACCTATTAGTGAGGTGTACCTAATAAAGTGGCCGGTGAGTGTATATATTATAAAAATACTGTATTTATTTATTAGTTTTAAATACGGTATATACTGTATGTTTATACATTTGCATAACTTACATATCTGCACCAAAAAATGTTTTAATTAAAGAATGAAATGTTGGAAGCATTGCTTTAGCAAGAATACGAATTGGAAGACAGACCTGTTCTATGAAAATGATAAATTGTGCCTCTTGAATTCAATCTTTCACACACTGGCCCTTTAATTAAGAGTCAATTTCCTGAATATAGATTTACCTCGCGATGGGCTCGTCTCGATCCAAATAAATATTGATGCGTCCCACAAATCTACAGCGGGAGAGGAAGAAAAGACAGAAATGAATGTCTGGTCTGGGCTCTGTGTCAATATGTGTGTGTGTGTGTGTGTGTGTGTGTGTGTGTGTGTGTGTGTGTGTGTGTGTGTGTGTGTGTGTGTGTGTGTGTGTGTGTGTGTGTGTGTGTGTGTGTAGTTAACACACTCTGGAGTGCGTTTCATGCTGTTTTGACGGTCCAGCAGTAATTCTATACACACTGTGAATTTGTAAGCAAAATCTGCGGGTTTGTTTTTGTGTTTGCTGCTGATATAGAAGCCTATTTCTCACTTGTACAGGTCTGGCTGGGGTTGTTCGCATTCTATGGTGGCGTGCAGCGTGTCCACCTCCTCTGCTGTGCTGAAGGCTTTTGTGTCCTGAACTGCATAATAGGTCTTTGTGTAAAGAGGAGAGCAAGAGAGAAACAAGTTAGCATTCCAAGGTCAAAAACTCTCACACAAATTTCTGCTATTAACTATTAAGAGTGTGTGTGTGTGTGTGTGTGCAAGTGTAAACAAATATACAGAGCAGATCAGAAATGGAGAAAATCTTGAAAAACACTTGATTTTTATTCATAAATGATACATTTTTCATTATTCAGAATTGGAAGATTTATTTTTCCTACTTTAAGCAAAAACGTATTTCATTCTTTTGAAAAAGCAGTTACTGATCATAAGGAATTTACCAGGTACCATGTTAACACCTGTAAGTAGAGGATCTGAAAGTTTTTTTTCTAATTTTGATGAATGTGCTTTTTCATACACACCATTTTTTTCAACCCAGACTCATTACGGAAATGTACCCAGGTCTACATTTCTGGGGACAGCGAAATACATACCTGGAGGTACTTCTGTTTGCCGTTTTTGTTTTTGCAAATCCACCGGAGGTCGCTGTGTTTGCTATTTGATGATATCAAATTTCTTTTAAGCATCCTCTTCTCACATGAATCCACCAGAGGGCGCAATATACACTTCAACCAGCCAGCCCAACTTGCTGTCGACTGACTGACTGACTGACCCACCCACCCCTGTCCCTAAACCCAACCGATAGTGTTTTCAAAAGCAATCTAGAAAAAGAAAAGTGGTCGCAGTCGTGTGATTTCACCACATTTTCAGCCTGTTGAATCTTTATTTATTTTTTGGCTTTTTTTTACCTGGTTTCTACAACCATTCTTTGTTGAATTCAAACTATGTTGTCGCGATCAACTCAACCATGCAGCCCAAGTCCATCGGCGTACGTGGCAAGCTACTGGGCAAACTGGTAACAGCCGTCCAGCTGTCAGCGGGCACTCAAACTAACAGGACCCATTTGTGGCATCATACCGCCCCATAGCGTTCATTTTAAAGATGAAATGCAGCCATAAGTACCACCTTTGGCTACATAATATGCGCTCCCCAGAAATATAGACAGGGGTACATATCCATAATGAGCCTGTGTTGCGTTTCTCATGTCAATTTGTTTTATACTGCATTTCAAAACATACTTGACTCATGAAATACGTTCTTTTGTCCTGTTAGAATAACTTTAAATGGGAGCAAGGAGTATCCTTCAAATGTTCTAGATCTAAAATCTGTTGATCTCCACTGAATTTTACACTCAGTGTAATAATTTAAAATACATAAACCCTTATAATTATTCTACAGCTTGTTTGCAATGATGTGATTCTGGTTACATGTGAAATTCCAGTGCAGAGCTATAAGTAATAAACTAAATGGAAGAAAGAGAATAGTCCATATTGTTGCACTGTAGATTGCTTCAAAAGAGATATACTGTAAACAGAAAATAACCACATATGTATGTTGGACATGATTCTTATTTGTGACCCTGGACCACAAAAAAATTTGTGGGAAAAGCAAAAAACTATTTTGATTGAGATGTTGTGACAAAATAATTAGTATATTAAGAAATAATCATCTTCCATGACAACATTTCGGGAATTTCCTTCTGTAAAAAAAAAATCTTTGGTAAAATACAATGCTAAAAACTTCATTTAGACAATATTAAAGGCGATTTTCTCAATATTGTGATTTTTTTTGTTTTAACTCTCAGGTTCCAGATTTTCAAATTGTTGTATCTCTGCCAAATATTATCAATGGAAAAGTTTTAAGTCAACGATCAGATAATGCGTATATCTCAATTTCCAAAAATGTACACTTATGACAGATTTGATGTCCAGGGTCACAACAGGGTAACTGAAATATTTACTTGCCTATAAGTAGGCCCACACACAATCTGCGCGCGCAGATTTACGCAGATTTTTAGCCCAACATTTGATTTTGTTTATTTACTTGTGTAAATGTATGTTTAAATTAATTACAGTAATATTATTGACTAATATGGAAATATTTATATGATTTATATGATTTATTTACAATACAGTTTGTTAAGTAATATTTTCTTTCTTTTAGTAGATATATTATATGAGATACTTGCTTAGTTTACCAAATAAAGTGGATCTAATTGGATTTGCACTGTAAATATAAAATAAAAGTTTAAAAGGTTTTACTTTTTATTTGATATATTAAGGTTTTAGATATGATACCCCAAAAATAATTCAGCATAAATCCACAGATTTTTAACACAATTCTGCGAAGAAAAAGCAAAAAATGTCCACAGATTTCGTCTGGCCCTACCTATAAGGCAGCAGATCTAATAAGCAACCTCATTTTAAATGATTATACCTACATCAAAACGTTGTTTATTGGAAATACTATAGTTCTAAATGTTACTACAGAAAAAAAAAAAAACTAGTACAGAAATGTTCTGTTCTGATCATTCTGTAGTAGCTGTGGCATCACAACAACTTAAATTATAGTAATAAACAAAATACCCAATACTATACTTACTTTTCTTTAGAATGTTTACTACAATACACCACAGTTTACAGTAGCAAAGCTAAAGTATACTACAGTATTTATAACAGTTTATCAGTTCACAATAATTCATGTTTTGCAATATAATATTTATTAACAGAGATGTAAATACTACAGTATAATATATACATCATACATTTTCCTATAAAATATTATAGTATATTTTCATGTGGTTGTGTTGTCTTCCAGACATTTGTCTGCACAAAAAAGCAGATGAAAGCATATAAAAGCATGGATGCATAACGTTGTTTTATTTTGTTAGTGGATGGGAAAATCTACAAAGGTAACCAAGGTGCTTCACAAAAACAATCGTCTAGTTTTGGCAGGGTAAGTTATTTATGTTCGCTGAATTTTTTGGTGGTGTTGTTTGTAATATCTGTCTTTTTCTATTTATAATACATAAACATAATATTAAGATTAATAACAATATTTTACTAATTATATATTAACATACTGATCAGTGCTGTCAAATGATTAATAGCCTTTAAAAAAAAGTTTGTACATATGTAACGGAGGCCAGCTAGTAAGTGCTGTGCAGGTAAACCTCACTCCTCTGACCTCTAAAGGTGCTCTAGCGACAAACACTGGAAGCCATGGTCTTTAGCCTCCTTGTTAGAGCAACCGACTCCCATGCGGAAGGTCGCTGGTTCAATCCCAGCACGGAGCGGGTTGGGTAGTGTAGGACCGGTGGGGTTACACATACAATTGTGCATCTATATATTTGAGAAATGTTCATTTCAAGCCACTTTTCCTTCCGTTATCAAGTATATTTCCCTACAACTTTTGAAACTCTTCAATAGCTATGAGTTTTTTTCTTTTTTGTTTTTGGACTGACCAAATTTTAACAACAAAACATAAACAGTTAGAATCACTTACAGCCCTCCATCTGCAAACAACCAATTGTAATATTACCAGTAAAGTTTCATTCCTTTCATTTAATTCATTTTCTTTCTGCTTAATCCCTTTATTAATCAATGATCGCCACAGCGGAATGAACCGCTAACTTATCCAGCATATGTTTTATGCAGAGGATGCCCTTCCAGCTGCAACCCAACAATGGGAAACACCCATATTCTCTTATAGTACATTCACACACTACGGTCAATTTAGTTTAATCAATTCACCTGTACCGCATATCTTTGGACTGTGGCACCCGGAGAAAATCCACATGGGAAAAACATGCAAACTCTACACAGAAATGCCAACTGGTCCAGCCGGGGCTCGAACCAGTGACCTTCGTGCTGTGAGGCGATCGTGTTATCCACTGCGCCTACCGTGCTGCCCCACCAGTAATATTTGCATTTCTACAAGATATGTATATAATCGTTCACCTTATGGCTGGACTCTCCATCTAAGCTGGCTGTCGTGACGAAACACGTCCCATCTTCTCTACTGGTGGACAGCAGTATGAGGTCACAAGGAAACGTCTCATTCTCTTTCACCTGGACAATATCCCCTACCTAAAAAAAAAACAGGAAACATTTACAGTTACAGCAAGAAAGTAAACAACAACCTGAAAATTCAAATGTGAGAATATTTTACTAAGAGTTTTGTAAGAGGGCAAAGTGACAATCACATGACATAGCATGACTTATTGTGCCACTAGATTGTCTCCAGCAACCATTATTTGAAAGTTTCCAATCCTACACTCCATTGAATCTTTTTGAGAAAGACAGTGAATTCAATTAACCCTTGTGTATTGTTCAAATTGACTACTATTTCACTGTGTTGGTGGCTGTTTTTGCCTCATTGACCTCCATTATTACAACATTTTTTGACCGCAAAGTAAACAACGTTGCAAAAAATAGTACAAATGACAAGTTTTGCCTCTACCCAACAAGAAAGACCACCAACATTCAAGATTGCACGATTATATGTCATCATGGCTTTGCAATCAAAAAATGTCATTATAATGGAAGTCAATGGGGTAAAAACAACAATCAATATAACGAAAGGGAAGTCAATTTACCCAAGGTGTATTGTTGAGTTTTTGAAATTGATTTTCAAAGCATTTCCCCCAAAATGTGTCTCAAAATTAGGTTTGTCTTCAAAAATCATTTCATTTGCCAAAACACAGAGAATGTTGTGGTTAAATTAAGACTCAAAATCACCCTGGAGTTGTTGTTGTGACCCGAAGTTGTTATTAAGACAACAGCACACAAGGGTTAAATCGAGCTTTTACATTCACAAAAGTCTTTATCACACACTATATGAAAGCAAAATAGGGACACTTTAAAAACAGATCATGCAGGATTCTTCTTTTATCTGTCCCATTTCATTATGAATTCCTTTTTTTCTTTCCAAACTGTAGTGATCTACTGTGATATACTGCATGACACTAATATCAACCAATCGGCTAAAAATAATCAGTTACATCACAGTGGAATGAAAAAAGTATCATGCTCATGAATCTACATAAATGAAAATCCCGACTCTGGTAGTTGTTCCCGTTGGCCCGTCTGCATGTGTTGCGTAACAGATTACAGATGCCGACCGGATTATCAGCGGGAAAAGCTGTAATGGTAAGTATTAAGGCACATTCTGTCTTCATAGTCACAGCTTCCAGTGTACTTTCCCAACTTGTAGTAGAACACAGTGGATTCCACAGACAGAAAAAAAACAACAACTGGAAGCTAAAAATGTGTAAGCAACGAACGCAAAATTGAGAAAATAGCAATATTTGATTCTGATGTTCTTCTGACCAACTAAATGACAAAACTTTTGTTTAAAATTTACTTAAACCAATACCTTAGAAATCCATAAAATCCAGAGAAACAGATATTTCTAGTTGTCTCATTTTTTCCCATTTACATTTGCAATCAGAATTATTAAACCCCCTTAGAATTCCTTTTCTTATTTATAATTTCCCAAATGATGTTTAACAGAGCAAGGAAATTTAGACAGTATGTCTGATAACATTTTTTTCTTCTGGAGAAAGTCTTATTTGCTTTATTTCGGTTAAAATAAATGTTTTAAATTTTTTTAAAAACCATTTTAAGGTCAATATTATTAGCCCCTTTAAGCTATATTGTTTTTCAATAGTCTACAGAACAAACCATCATTATACAATAACTTGCCTAATTACCCTAACCTGCCTAGTTAACCTAATTAATCTAGTTAAGCCTTTAAATGTCACTTTAAGCTGTATAGAAGTGTCTTGAAAAATATCAAGTCAAATATTATGGGCTGTCATCATGGCAAAGATAAAATAAATCAGTTATTAGAAATGAGTTATTAAAACTATTACGTTTAGAAATGTGTTGAAAAATCTTCTCTGTTAAACAGAAATTGGGGAAAAAATAAACAGGGGGCTAATAACTCTGCAATTGTACATGCATATATATGATGTATAAATGTTATACATAAATCTGTTTTTATTCCATGGTCTGTTAAAATTCTTGATTCTGATTGGCTGGAGGGTGTGCATTATTTCCATTGAGATTTACGGGTAGTTCCAGCAAAGAGCTTAGAATCACCAAGAGGCGACACTCAATAGAACACCAGCAACAGCCGCGCGATTCCGGAAGAAAACCCACGCGAACCCAGGAAAAACATGCAAACTTCACGCAGAAACACCAACTGACGCAACCGATGCTCGAACCAGCGAACTTTCTTGCTGTGAGACGACAGCACTACCTACTGTGCCACTGCGTCTAAATGCAAACATTAGTAGCAACCATGGCCACTGCTATAAGTGACAGTGGCCGGAGTCTTCGTATACACTAACACTACATTTATTTGACAGCATTGAGTGTAATAAATATGTCATTAACACATAGCTTGGTTTGGCTGATCTTATTTTAGACCTTATTTATGATAGAACAGTGCAAAGTTGGGGAGAGAGAGGGTACAGAATCCGGAAATGTCTGCAAGCCGGGACTCGAACTCGGGACGACAAAAACACAGTGGCCAGTAGGGACTGACGAATTATCTAATCATTTAAACAAGGTAAAAAGGGGTGATATTAAAGGAAACCTGTTTGAAAACAGTCATTTTTGTCATATGGTGGCAAAAATGTGGTCACATTTAGAGCAAAACTAACCCAGATTCCTCAACAATACATTTGATCCAGATTTTACTTATATGCTCACATACCCGTAGCTTCTGACTCTGTTTGCGTACGACTTTGCCATGCTGGACGATGTGGACCGGACATTGGTTTACAGAGTTGTCCGCTTTGTGCCTGATCCAGTCCTCGTACCCCTGCAGAGAGGACGAGAGGAGAGGAAGATGAGTGATGACACAATTAAGAAACCAATTATAGAAAAAAGAAAGAGTGTTTTCTCTCACCTGTTTAATGGCTGTGACTGTGATGACAAAGAAAAGAGGCAGGCCGCTGGTCATAGGACTGGTGGGTGTATCAATGATCAGCTACAGACAGAGAGAGAGAAACATCACACATCCCGCTGGCACTGAAAGGTCAGCTCATGCTAAACAGTACCGCTGCCGTCACAAACCTGCACTAGAAAGATGATCAGAAAATAGAAATTGGCGATTCTTCGGAACTGCTCAAAGAGGTTCTTCGGTATAAAATTCCAGAACGTATACTGTTGAGAGAAGGAGAGATATGTTTATTCTCTGAAAGGGACTGACCTGTAATTCTGCATTGTAATATTTTAAATTACTACTCTTTTTTTTCACGTCACTTTTTTTGTTAGATTTAAGATCAAAACAAGCTAAAATGTTGCAGATGTACTGTTGTCTTTTGTTGTAATTTTGTCAAAATACAAATTTTATATATATTTTTTGCCATTTATTGTTATGTAGATTTTATCAAAATAATTTCTAAAATTTTTAATATAAATGTTTATTTTTAGATATATGCAAATGAGTCAAATATGATATTAAATATCTGTGAAATTCAGCATTCAGTGTAAAACTTATTTATATATAAAAATAAAATCTTAAAACATATTTATTCTGACCTTTACTTATTATAATATATTAAAGTGTAGATGATCCTATTAAATGTTTTTTGCTATATAGTACCAAAGAACATACCAAAAATATTTATTATTAATAATATAAAAAAAATGAAAATATAAAAAAAAAAAAAATATATATATATATATATATATATATATATATATATATATATATATATATATATATATATATATATGTGTGTGTGTGTGTGTGTGTGTGTGTGTGTGTGTGTGTGTGTGTGTGTGTGTGTATATATATATATATATATATATATATATATATATATATATATATATATATATATATAGTTATTATTATTATTATTATTATTACTATTATTGTTATTATTATTAATATTATTATTATATAAAATATTCTTAGTCAGCTTGTCATGGTTATACAAAACTGCTTGTCGTAGTTCACATCTGACCTTCGAGGAGACGATTCTGTTGTCAGGAAATCTCTGTGGAATGTAGGCTTCTGTTCCTGGTGGAGGCTCTTTATGCCCAATATAAACCGTCCTGCTGTCCACCCAGTTCTCCTCTCCTGTACACTGAAACAAACAGACAGACAGCATGCATTATTTATTTATTCAGATATATATATATATATATATATATATATATATATGTATGTAAAACTATTCTCTTTAAATTACATTTAAAAATCACTTTAAAAGAAGCCCAAAAGCCCCAAATCTAAAAACTGACAGATGGATGAAAAGGGTGTTTTTGCCTCCAGTGTGTTGTCATGTGAGTTCACAGGTCAGAGAAAACAGGTGCACAAAAAGAGGAACCCGCTTTGAGCTACAACTGCAGAGTTTAGTCTGATGAGAAAGAGAACAGATAGAGAACTTATGGTCCCCGTCATGCTTGATTTGACTCTCAAAGGCAGAGCGACCATAGTTTCATAACAAAGAGCGAGAGGCAGAGAAAGGAGACCAAGAGAGGAACAGACAGAAGAAAAGAAGAGTGCAATACTAGACTTTTACATTTCCTGTAAAAAAAAAAAAAGCCGGGTGCAAAGATGACACATTGGTTCCCAGTGTTTGTCTGTATGATATTTTAGTAAATACTTTAATGTATAATATTTTAAAGGGAAAATTCACCCAAAATTCCCTTATCATTTACTCTCTCTCATATGGTTTTATGAGTGTCTTTCGTCTGTTGAACACAAAAGAAGATATTTTGAAGAATGCTGGTTTTGGGCCCCATTGACGCCCATAATCGGAAAAATACAGAATTACTAAGTTAATTGATGCCAGCAACCAGCGACGGATCTTCACATCACATTTTGAACAAGTAAAGTGTAAAATGGCAGGCACTAAAGCTAAAACGGAGCTACAACTAAACTAAAAATACACATAACAAAGTGTAACTGTTTAGCTAAGATCTTTAAAATGCTATCTCTTTGTGCTTCACAAATAAAAAAGAGGCTGGAACAAGGCTGAGCAAATTGTTATTTATTTTTTTCACCGAATTATCCCTTTAACACTTACTGTAGAGGTTAATGTGGAAAAATGTTACACTAGAGCAATAACAACAGTGCTGAATAATGCTAAGAAGTACTAATAACTTTTAATGTTTCAGTATTTTACATGAATTCCCTGTACTACTCTACTTTAACTAAAAGCAAAAAGCGGAAAACTATGCTATAATAAAAGCAACAGCGTGAAATATACATCCTAGCAGGTTTGCACACATGTTAATATCGCCTGTTTCATTTTTCATTATTCGTACTTCACTCAACAGCTGTTCTGCAGCATCCACTCTTATTAATGCTCTTGACCACATTATAGCTTTAAGACACTGCAGGGGAAGGAGATTTACATTCCAATTGACTGATTACACTAACAATTGTATTGGATAATATTTTTAGTTAAAGTTTTCGAAGAGTATAATTTTATATATGAGGCATTGTTTTATGAAATATGCAGCACATACTATAAATCTGAACATTCGATAAAGTCAGATTTCTTTGGGAATTCACATTCTATATTTAAAGGGGACCTATTATGTCCCTTTTCACAAGATGCAAAATAAGTCTTTGATGTTCCTCAAGTGTGTAGGTAAAGCTTCAGCTCAAAATACCCCACGAAAATTGTTTTATAACTCTTAGAAACTGCCCCTTTTAGGCTTTGATCCATATTGTGGCATTTTGGTGACTGACACTTTAAACTTAAACAAGATTATGCTTTTTCAAAAAAGGGTGGAGCTACAAATGCCTGTGTGTCAGCATAGTGGCACATTTTTAAAAAAGACTAAAGTCCTGCTAATGAGGGAGAGATCGTTGATAATGTGCCGGGCTTTCCCTCTCTGATGACACACTCTAGACTGTTTTATCAAGTGTGATTATAAAAAAATTAACAAATATATTTTTACCATTAGAAGCTGCTTATATTCACAGACTCTTGCCCCACAAGTGTGTTTAAACCCCTTATAAAAATGATTTTTGGATAATAGATCCCCTTTAAAGTCAAAAGGTTTAACAGAAGGGATATATGGGAATCTTTATTATCACTCAATACTTTAGAAAAGAAATTATAGAATAAAATGTTGTATATAATCACAAATATTTTGTATGGACATATGCCTCTGTAAAGGCCTTTAAAATGTGTATACACTATAACTAAAATGGTAATAAATGTTTTATGTAAAGCTGCTGAAGTGGAGATTTATGAAAATAAAATAATTTTCAAAAATAAAATAAAATATTTGATCCAATTTAAACCTACAGACACAAATTGTGACAAAAGAATCACATAAAAGGGTATTTTTCGACTGAAATTCCAAAAAGCCCAATATCTCAAAATTGAAAAGTGCATTTATGCCAGCAGTAAGGCTGTGTGATTAATTGAATCGCAATTTGAAACGTTTTGATTAGGGAATCGCAAAAGACTGCGATATGAAATATATACAGTTGAAGTCAGAATTATTAACCCCCCTTTGATTTGATTTTTTTTTTTTCCCTTCCAGCCGCAACCCATCTCTGGGAAACATCCACACACACTCATGCACACACATACTCATACACTACGGACAATTTAGCCTACCAAATTCACCTGTACCGCATGTCTTTGGGGGAAACCGGAGCACCCGGAGGAGACCCACGCGAACACAGGGAGAACATGCAAACTCCACACAGAAACGGCAACTGAGCCAAGGCTCGAATTAGCGACCCAGCGCCCTTCTTGCTGTGAGGCGACAGCACAACCTACTGCGCCGCTGCTTATTTGTTTTATTTTTTCTAGAATAAAAGCAGTTTTTTTATTTAAAAAAAAAAAACATTTAAAGGTCAAAATGATTAGCCCCTTTAAGCAATATTTATTTTTGATAGTCTACAGAATAAACCATCGTTATGCAATAACTTGCCTAATTACCCTAACCTGCCTAAATAACCTTATTAACCTAGTGAAGCCTTCAAAAGTCACTTTAATTTGTATAGAAGTGTCTTAAAACATATCTAGTCAAATATTAATTACTGTCATCATGCCAAAGATAAAATAAATCAGTTATTAGAAATGAGTTATTAAAACTATTATGTTTAGAAATGTGTTGAAAAAATCTGCTCTCCTTTAAACAGAAACTGAGCTAATAAATCGGGGGGCTAAAAATTCTGACTTTATCTGAATGTACCATTTAATTTCCCCCAGCCACAGCAAATGCGCAACTGCCCACTGTGTGCGGCAGTCTTACTAGCCAATTGAGTGAGCAAACTTTCATTCTGCCCAATCAGAATTGAGCAACCGAACAATGCGGAACGCCCACAACAAAACAAACAAACAGGAAAGCGCGGACGAGTGGGATGATGGTGTCTGCTGCTTCAGAAGCATTAATAGACAAATTAATATCAAAGAAAAACAGGACATCGGTAATATGGGAATATTTTGATTTCAAAGTCACAGACACAAAACAAAAACAGGTCATTTGTAAGAGCTGTTGCAGAATTGCTGCCACAACATGAGGAAATATAACTGTCACAATCACCAGCAGATCTAGCTCATGCAGATCGCTGGAGAACTACAAATCTAACAGTGAAAGAACTACATATCCAGTCATGCACCACTCACACACCTGGCCTAAATCCCCATGCTTGCAAACAGACACTGAAGCTGCTCAGGACTAATTGCACAGAATATATATAAACCTCTCAAACACACACGTTGCTGAGTCTTGTTTTGTGAACATTACGATGTTTTTCCTTGCCCTGTCTTGCCTTCTTTCTGACCCTGTGCCTTATTTTGTTTATTTACATTGTCTGCTGCCTGCATTCTGACCTCTTGCCTGATATTTGACCATGACTCTGGATTTGCCTGTAAACATCTGTTTTCCCCTGTGTTGGCCGTTGCTTGCCTGACTATCCTGCTAATAAATCCTGCAACTGGATCCTCACTTCCCTTGTCACATTACAACAACCAGCACCTAAAAAGCAGCACAGGGGGCTGTACTGCCAGTGACACTCAATCTGGTCGCGAGCAACAGCAAAGTACAACTTCAGAGGTGTTTGTGGCTTCTACACCGAATAAAATAGCATCACAAAGGCACCAGGAGATAACTAACACCATAACTCACTACTGTTTGCTGCTCTGGAGAAAAATGAATGTTTCATTTGTGAATATTTTTAAACAAATTTAAATAAATGTTGGGGTAAGTTAATATGTTTTAGTTCTTTTTTAACTAATACTTAATTTAGCAGTAAGAAGCTACGATACAGAATACGGAGCTGAAGCTTGACTACAAAGTAAATTGCAAATCAATTTGAAATCACAATATCTAGCCTGTCTCGCATTAATAGGTTTGGATTACGCAAGGAAAGCTGGTTTCAGATCAGCATAAAGACAGTCACCAGATGCCGTGTGTCTTTACATCTCAGTACTACAACCTGACTAACTGCAGTGAGCGTCAACGAGTGTGACAGGATTGGCCGTGCTGCTATTGGCTCCGCCTCTCTCCCCCTCCGTCAAGGCGGGATTTAATCTGTCCGAGCCTCTTAAGCTCTTACATAAGATGAGAAATATGAGCTATTACCACTTCAAAGGCTGCTTGTGTTCAGCAGGACATTCATGCAGATTTCTGTCACACAAAAGCCATTGAAAACCTGTCGGATGTTCTTGTGTTAGGCTTTTAAGAGTTGGAGTTTTGGAAGGGATTTAGCACATCTGAGGTCTTGGTCAACAGTTGGCGACATCAATTATACAAATTAAATCCTAAAGCACTCAGACTGACGTCACGCCGCACAGCACAGCAATGTCAAACTCGTCGCATCACCTTGTTCATCACGGAAAATCCTCCGAGACACACAGGAAGTCAGTCTGAAGTTTGTCTTTGTGACTCATGTACCTCTACGGAATACGCCGCTGTGTATTTTGATGTGATTTTGACCTTGCAGAGTGAGCTCAGATACCGTCCAAATGACTCACAGTGTCTTTTAGGTCCACTAAAATGACAGCACCCATTCAAATGATACTAATTCAAGAATAAACCTCACAAAACACGTTCGCAGTAAAAATGGGAACAAGATGTCATGCTTAATGCCTGCGCGAACCGAAAGTTG